CTTCCTGGCCCCTTTGCAGCCTTCAATGGCCCCCCTCCGTGTAAGCCTGCGCCAATTACGTGTGGCACGGGACAACAAAAATCTCCCCTAGGGGGGGTGCGATCGAAAACGAAAAAGGCGCGTATTCAGGGCTCGGGAAACACATGTTTATTGGCACGCACGCGTAGAAGGAACAAGATCTAATAAACGTGTTAGTGTTGTTGTTGGTGTTGTTTGTGTTGGTGTAGCTGCTGGTGTTTAATACTCATTCCTCGAGAATCGTTGTTGTAAGGGGAATAACTGGGTGTCACCACGCAGTGCCCCTGGCCCCCAGTTTACAACAACAGCGGCTCCCGCCGCATACTTCCTCGCAGTTTGTTCCACAAACGCGTTCTCACGCGGGACGTCCCTACAAGTTATGCAAGGATCGCGATCTCGCGTGGGAGTTCAGCACAATTTACTCAGACGCGGCACCGTCGACACTCAGGAATCACGCTCTCGCTTCGGCTTTTCCCACGATTTACTTAGGAATGGCGCTATCGCTCGAACATTCCTTTGCAGATCATGCAGGACTCACGCTTCAGCAGCCCGCCTGCTCGACCTGGCCGCCTGAAACCGCCTTCTCGACCCGCCCGTTAGGGTCTACCCGCCCGTTCTGCCCGTCTGATTATGACACGTGCTTTCAGTTCCTAGCTCCTCTCCTGCTAAGCCCTCTCGTGCTCCATCCTCATCCCTCCCCCCTCCATCCGTCCGTTGCCCCTGTTTTAGAGGCTGCGCTAAATGCGCGTGGCGAATAAGGAAGACATACCCGCAAAAGGGGCACGATCGAACGCGAAGAGAGCGGGTACCAAGGGTTTGGGATATACGTGCTGTGTGGCACGCGAGTGCAAAGGAACGAACAATATTAAACTGAAGTTGGTTGTTGTTTTGTTGTTGTTGTTGAATTCTCGCTTCAGCAGGATTTTTGTTGTTGCCCCCCCCCGTCTGGTAACATATTCGCTTTTCCATTGAAGTGCCCTTCCTGGGGCTCGCACCCTGTTTTCATGTAAGAAAATATTCATATTCTGCGTTGTTGGCCCCCGGGCCACAAAAGCATCGGCTCCCGCCTGATACGTTCTTACAACGTATTTCCAAATCGCGCTCTCGCGCTGGACTTCCTCACAAGTTATTCAAGAATCGCGGTTTCGCGTGGGACCTCGTCGCAATTTATTGAGACGCCGCGCCCTCGACACTCAAGAATCACGGTCTCGCTGTGGATTTCCTCACGATTGATTTGGGAATCGAGCTGTCGCTTGAGACTTCCTTTGATTCATGCAAGACGCACGCTTCAGCAACCCGCCTGCTCGACCTGGCCGCCTGGGCCCTCCTCCCCGACCCACCTGGTAGGGTCTACTCGCCCGATCTGCTCGTCTGGTTCTGCCACATGTTTTCTGTTCCTACCCCCCCTCCTCCTAGTCTCTCTCGTGCTCCATCCTCCTCCCCCCCCTTGTCCCTTCCTTCCATCCGTCCTCTCTTCCCCTGCCTCAGGGGCTGCACGAAATATACGGTGCAGGTAAGAAGTATATACTCCCAAAGGGGTACGATCGAAGACGAAGAGGGCGGGTATCGAGGGTTCGGGATATACGTGTTGAATGGCACGCAAGCAGATAAGAACGAAAAATCTTAAAATGATTGTTGTTTGCTTACTTCTGAAGACTAGTTATTCTTGATCCCCCCTGCCGGGCAACCACTGCATCGTTCAATTGAAGTGCTTCTCCCGGGGCTCGCACACTGTCTTTTACAAGGGGAAAGCTGGGTGTCATCAAACTGCACCCCTGGCCCCTGGTTTACAAGAACAACGTCTCCCGCCTGATACGTCCTCACAATGTATTCCCAAATCGCGCTCTCCCGCGGGACGTCCTCACGTTGTATGCAGGAATCGCGCTCTCGCGTGGGACTTCCTCGCAATTTTTGCAGACGCCGCGCCCCCGACACTAAGGAATCACGCTCTCGCTGTGAAATTCCGGATTTATTTGGGAATATCGGTATCGCTCGAGATTTCCTCGCGATTCATGCAGGGCGCACGCTTCAGCAACCCGCCCGCCCCTTGTCCCTTCCTTCCATCCGTCTGTCTTTCCCTGCCTTCGGGGCTGCACGAAGTACACGTTGCAGGTAAGAAAGATATACCCCTAAAGGGGTAGGATCGAAGACGAAGAGGGCGGGTATCGAGGGTTTCGGATATTGATATACGTGTTGACTGGAACGCGAGCAGATAAGAGCGATCAGTCTTAAAAGTATTGTTGGTGGTGGTGTTGTTGTTGTCGTTGCATTCTCACTTCTAGAGAATAAGTATTGTTCCAGCCTGGTAACCATTGCGTTTTTCAATCCAAATGCGTCTCCCAGGGCTTGCACCCAAATTTTTACAAGGGAAAACGAAGTGTCACCGAATTTTGTTGTTGGGCCCCGGTTTACAACAACAGCGGCTCCCGCCTGATACGTCCTCACAATGTATTCCCAAATCGCGCTGTCGCGCGGGACGTCCTCACAATGTATGCAGGAATCGCGCTCTCGCGTGGGACATCCTCACAATTTATTCAAACGCCGCACCCTCGACACTCAAGAATCGCACTCTCGCTGTGGAGTTCCTCACGATTGATTTGGAAATCACGGTATCGCTCGAGACTGCCTCGCGATTCATGCAGGACGCACGCTTCAACAACCCGCCTGTCCCTTGTCCCTTCCTTCCATCCGTTCTCTCTTCCCCTGCCTTCGGGGCTGCACGAAGTACACGTTACAGGTAAGGGAAAATGCCTCTAAGGGGGCACGATCGAAGTCGAAGCGGGCGGGTATCGCGGGATACACGTGTTGAATGACACGCGAGCAGAGAAGAACGAACAATCGTAAAATAATTGTTGTTATTGTCGTCGTTGTTGTTTGTTTTGTGTTGTTTTATGGTGTGTTGTGTTGCGTTGTTGTTGTTGTTGTTGTTGTCGCCGTCCCCCCCGTGACCTGGCCCGCGACCCACACGCGACCACCCCGCCACCCACCCGCGACCTACCTGCGACCCACCCGCGACCCGTCCCCGACACACCCCGCGACCCACCCGCGACCTGGCCCGCGACCCACCTGCGAACCGGCCCGCGGCCCGGCTGGCGACCCACCCGCGACCCGCTGGCGACCCGCTGGCGACCCGACCGCGACCCACCCACGACCCACCCGCGACGCACTCGCGATCCACCCGCGACCCACCTACATTGTTTTAACGCAAAAATCTGCGCCGGCGGTGCTCATGGTATAATTTGTGAAAATTAAGCGCTTGCGGCGGGTTTCTTTTGAGCCTCGCAGACTGCCGACGTCCCCGCCGCCCCCTTATTCTTATCCGCAACTGCGGGGTGCTGCGTATGCACGACTAACCGAGGTTGATCCACACGTTCTGAATCAAGTTGCGCCGGCAAAGCGAGTTGTGGGGGGGCGCGACGACGCAAGATCGACGCACGCGGAGGGACACAATAACGCCAATTGACGAAAGGGACATGCAATCGTGTTTGCACGAGGTTCGAGGCCCGTGCAGATAATCCCACGCAAGTAAGCAATGGGCAACTAGCGGCCGCCTGTCGAAACAACAAAACAGCATGTGGCGGCCTGCCGCTGAACTGCTAGCGGGACAGAGGCAGATACTATAATATACAAGAGGGAGATGGGATGAGAGCGGTATAGATATGTATATATATATATATAGGAACAGAGAGAGAGAGAAGCAACAAAAAACAATGAAAGAGAGAGAGAGAAGAAACAGAGGGGAGAGGCGCAATGCGAGACATCTTGCGTATTCTTATATATCTATCCAATGGAACCACCCATCGTGTGGAATGAAGTTGGGTGGGGGACGGGGATGGATGCACCTTTCGGTTTGCGATTCGCCCCAGACGCACCCAGGCTCTCCGCGACACACGCAAGACTCACGCAAGACACACCCAACACACACCTCGAGATGACGGCGACGACGACGACGATGACTCTGACGACTCCAACTGCAACGACTCCATATTGAACTCCGACGACTCCGACTCCGACGTCGACGCCGACGACTCCGACTTCGACTCCAAAAGCGGCCAGGAAGGCGTTCATCCAACTTCCTGTGTCATCTCTCATCCTCCCCCTTTCTCCCTCATGTTGCCTTCGTCCTTCGTCCTCCTTTTCCTCCTTCTGTCCTCTCGTTCTCTCGCTCCCTCCCTCCTACTGCATCTCATTACCTCCTTCCCAACTCTTCCGCCATCCGACCCTTGTCCATCCTCAGCTCCACATCCCACCCCCTCCACCCTTTGCCCATCATCCGCCCCCCTGTCCTCTTGCCTCCCTGAACCTTCCCTCCCCTCCTCCTCCCGCAACCCCGTGGACCCACTACCTGCCCAAAGGTGGAGGCCTTCTCGTCCTCCTCGTCCTGCTCGTCCTCCTCGTCCTTCTCGTCGACCTCGTCGTCCTCGTCGTGTTTGTCGTCGTGCTTGTCGTCGTGGTCGTCGTCGTCGTCGTCGTCGTCGTCGTCGTCCTAGGGGTCTTACTTCGGGCCCAAACTGCCTCACCAGGGGTTTACCACTCTCGGCAGCGAGCGCGCGCGCGCTCGGCGAGGGAGGGGGCTGGACAGAACCCCCCTCGGTGAAACTTGGCTCCGTGACAACGGCCTCGGGCCCAAACCTGGCGGGCGCGAGCCTGGAAAACGACGGCCGCGGCGCCCTCTCGAGAACCGAGAACGGACAGTCCACTAATCGACGTGTCTTTGGACGCCCGTTATGGGTACCGAAAAAATGGGTACAATGCCCAACAGTAAATGTTGTCCCAAACCGACAGCGGCCGCTGTTGGGCAGGCGGCCTCCTGTCTCGAATGGACACAGGCCGCGGCGGCGTGGACAGCGAGCCCTGTTCAAAATGAACAAGATCCGCTGTTGGGCATTGTACGCACTCTTTCAGTACCCATTTCGTGCGTGCAGAGTGTCAGGGTGGGGGCTCTGTCCACCCCCGAGGGGGGGGGGGGGCGGCGGGGTCACGCCGCTGGTCGCGGGCCTCCCGCGGCTTGCGGGGGTCCTCTCTGCGCGCGCGCGGCGCTCCGCCCGCGGAGCTTGGGAGACGGAAAGGTGACCGGGGTCGGTCTTTCGAACCCCCCTTCTCCAGAGCTGGCAGCTGAGCATCTCTTCGGCGACCTCATTGGCGGCTCGGGGTCCCACCGATCGTGCTTACAGTGGAGGCCAGTCCACAGGAGAACTGCCACCAGTAACCCAACCCTGAGACCCGGGACGTCCGTTGACTTCTGGTGCGGGAACGCAGCGCTGTCCAGCGCAGAACCGTCGAAACCCAAGACACCCAGGGCACCCTGGAGGCAAGCAGGGTCTTTCTTGGCATGGGTCTCCACTGTCTTCCCCGCCGAGAGAAACAGAAACAGGGGAGGGGCCCAAGCAAAAGACTTAAGTCGGGCATGTCCCCCCACAGGGGTATTTTCGACGAAAAATAAGAAATACCCAAACAAAAATGAAAAGATAATCCAAAAATTGTCTGGGGACTATTTTGGGGGTATTTTTTAACCTTTTTGGTGCATTTTTGGAGTATATTTCTTTCGTCGAAAATCCCCCCTGTAAGGGGACACGCCCGACATGACAAGAGACCTCCCGAGGCCCCCCCGGACCTCGCCCGGGGCGCAGTCTGGCCAGGACTCCGACGCGGCGAGGGTCCCTCCCCCAGAGCCTTCTCCGCCCTCTCTCGTCCTGCTCCTCCAACGTACCTCCTCCGTGCATGTTCCCCTCTCTCCAGCTTTTTCCTCGCCCCCCTCAACCCCCAAGTCCGCGCAAAACGGGTCCATGGATCCCGTCCCGAGGCATGATCCTGACCCGTCTGGACTACCCAGTTGCTCTGGCATCTTCAGGACTCTCGAGGATTCTACATGGTTCATCTGGATCCCTTGGGGCCATCAAGAGTGTCCAGGAACTCAGGTTCATAAGTTCCTCAAGAGTCCTGTAGAACCATCAGCGGCTCCAAGTGCCCTCCGCGCCTCCCACGGGAGGCCCCCAAGAGGCCAACACTCTTCCAAAGCGTGATTGTTTCCTTCTCGCCGTTTCGCTTCCATTGAGCCCCTGAGGTCTCTGTATGGCTGAGCGCCCAAGACCGCCCCGAGAGAGCTCCACTGGACAATTTTGACAGTTCCGACGGGGGGACCGCAGTCGGCGACCACCCTTCTTTTGATCGATGGCCTCTAAGGTGGCTGCAGAGGGGCCCCCAAGGCCTCCGCGAGGCGCGAGGGCCAGAAGACAGCCACAAGATAGCTCCAAGAGGGCCCCAAGAGAGCCCCAAGGAGGTCCAGGAAGCTTCCAAGCTGGCCCCAAGACGGCCTCGCGATGGCTCCAAGAGACCTCCAAGACGCTCCCAGAGCGAACAATCTCAAGGTCTTGAGATTGACTCCAGTCGTCGTCGTCGTCGTCGCCGTCGTCGTCCTGGATGAGTGGTTGTCTTGGCCGAGTGTTTGTCCTGATTGATTGGTTGTCTCCTCCTCGTCATCCTTCGAAATATCTGCGAAAACTGACGCGGCTCACTTGCGGATCCCATTCTGCATGTCCCTGATCAGGGCAACTTGCCTGCAGCCTCTTACTGGATAGGCTGGCGGAGACACGCGAAACGTCAAGAACTCTTGTTCCAATCCCATTGGACTGCTCCTGCGCTGGGCGGCCGGAAATAGCTCCGTGCATACCCGGATCGTGTTGAAGCGTGACTGTGGTTCAAGGGTATTCCTCTTGCGCTTGAGATCCGCTCCATCAGCATTGAGAGAGGAACAAGCAACAGCACGAACACAGACTGTCCGAGGTCCGCGCGGATTTCTTAGATTAGCGCAGGGCATCCCTCCCTGGCGCGCGGAGCGCAGCAGAGGCGCCACCAGGAGGATCCCAAAAATCCGCGCGAAGCTCCGAACGTTTATGTTTATGTTGCTATTTGTTCTTCGAGCATTCGGCCCGATGGGAAGCAATCTGGGTTCACAGGGACTCCTCAGCCGCCCAGGGCGTACGCCTCTCCGGCTTGAACGATAGCGCAGCGCGCTGCGAAACCTGCGGGATCCCTCTGGCGGTGTGATGCGCTCTTTTCCCCTTGGGGGCCCCTGCTCAGCGCAACGTGTGTTGCCCTTTCCGCTTGGTTGCGCGCGTGGCCGAGTCCGTCTCACCCCTTGCGCTCATCTCGGACGGACCAGAACCCACGAAACTCCCCCCCCCCCTTTCCCACCTCCTCCTCCGCCGCGCCCCGCTCAAGCAAAAGACGCGTGTACATGATACCCATCATCGAGGCATGCATCGAGTGCGCCGGGGCCGGGGGCTAGGGGAGGGGGGCTAGCGCATCAAGGCCCGAAGCATGCGCGCGAATATTGGGGGGGCCAGGGAACGCATTCAAGTTAAAAGCCAGGGACGTGACATCTGGGAGATGTCATGGCTGCCGTGGCTCTAGTTCTGATATCTACACCCTCTAGTCCTCATCCCCTCTTCGCGGTTCTCCAAATACAGAGGTGCCCTCCTCCTTCCCCTGTTCCCTCGCAGACGACGGAGGCGAAAGCGCGATGGCGTTGGCGGCGACGCCCGCCGCGTGACGGGCAACGCCCCCCTGCCCCCCGCAGCGGTTCCCCGAGGATCCGCGCAAGCTGCACGTCGAAGGCGTGCACCTCCTTCAGCACCATCTCGACCTCAGGTGAACAGGGAGGACCTCCCTTCCAGAAAGGAGGGGGCTGTACGATGCAGTCGATGCATCGCCGCAAGAGCGCGTACCAAGAAACGGGGACATACGGCAAAGCGAGGGGCCGAACGGTCATTCTGTGTCCCTGGGCGCTTGGCTGCAATGCGGTTCCGCGGTGCGGGATGTTGATATTGTTATTGATGCCATTGTTGATGATGGTATTGTGGTTGTGGTTGTGGTTGTGTTTGGTGTTATTTCTTTTGTTGGTGTTGTTGGCGTTGTTGTGTTGTGTGGTTGAACTCTCAGTTCAAACTAATGATTGTTGTTGACCCCTGCCACTGGTGCATACTGCATTTTCTCCATCAAAGTGTGCCCATCGACGCTCGCACCCTGTTTTTTTGACAACGAAAATCTTGGTGCTCGAACTGTGCCCCTGGGCCCCGGACTACAACAACAACGGCTCCCGCCTGAAACTTCCTTCCTCCGAATTTACGCAGGACCCCTCCCTCCCGTCTGAGACTTCCTCCGAAATTACTTAAGAACGGCGCTCCCGCTTGAGACCTCCTCGCAACTAATCCGGGTCAAACTGCATTGCTGTTCCCCCGGACTACAACAGCAACGGCTCCCGCTTGAGACTTTCTCTCACTTTACTCAGGACCCCCGCTCCCACCTGAGACTTCCTTCCAATTTAGTCAGGATCGGCGCTCCCGCCTGTGACTTCCTCGCAATGTGATCAGGACCCCCCCCTTCCCGTCTGAGGCTTCCCTACAATTTACTCAAGAACGACGCTCCCGTTTAAGATTTCCTTGCGCTTTAGTCTAGGCCCCCGCTCCCGCCAGACATCCCCTTTTCAGGAATTGCGTTCTCGCCTGTGACGCTTTCGCAGTTTATTCAGAAATCGGGCACCACATTCGCCTCCAGCGCCTCGCCGAGCAGCACCAGAGGTGTTACGTAGCACTGCTTATGGCGCGACCCATGGCGAAGCATTTGTTAACCTGTGTTGGAATGGCTGGCTCAAACCATGGCGCAAGCTGCATCGCAACTCACGGCACAAATCATCGTCGCCCCTCCCTCTTGCCCCTCTAATCCCTCCCTTCCTCCGATCCCTTTGTCATATTTTGTTGTTTGTTCCCTTTCGTGGGCTTCTCCAAAGTACACGTGGCCAGGACGGAATATAATCTCCCAAGAGGGGGTACGATCGAGGACGAAGAGGGCGAGTATCCAGGGTTTGGGATATGCATAGTGAGTGACACGCGGGCCGGTAGGAGCGAACAGTCTTGGAATGACTGTTGTTGTTGGTGCTGCTGTTGTAGTTGTCGTTGTTTTTGGTGTTGTCGATGTTGGTGTTGGTGGTGTTGTTGCTGGTGTTGTCGTTGTTGTTGTTGCTGTTGTTGGTGGTGGTATTGTTGCTGATGCTGCTGTTATTGTTGTTACTGTGTGTTGTTGGTGTTGCTGTTGTTGTTTGTTGTCGTTGTTGTTGTTGTTGTCGTCGCTGTTGTTGTTGATGTTGTTGTTGCTATTTGTGTTGTTGTTGGTGGTGCTGGTGTTGGCGTTGAACTCTCACTTGTGAAGAATGATTATTGTTGATCCCCCTCACCAGTGCATACTGTTTTTCTCCATCGAAGTGTGCCCCTCGACGCTCGCATCCTGTTTTTTTGACAAGGGAAATCTTGGTACTCAAGCTGGGCCCTTGGCCCTCCGGATTGCAACAACAACGGCTCCCGCCTGAGACTTCCTCCAAATTTACTCAGGACCCCCGCTCCTGAAACTTCCGCACAATTTACTCAGGATCGGTGCTCCCGCCAGTGACTTCCTCGCAATTCAGTCTGGACCCCCGCTCCCATCTGAGACTTCCTCACAATTTACTCAAGAACGGCGCTCCCGCTTGAGACTTCCTCGCAATTGAATCGAGACTTCCTTGCAATTTAATCAAGACCCCCGCTCCCAGAGAACCCCTCGCATTTTATTCAGGAGTTGCGCTCTCACCTGCGACTTCAGTGCGATGCTTTCACAAATCGCGCTGTAGACGCTCAGGCAACACGCTGCGCCAAGGACGCCGCTACAATTTACTCAGTAATCGCGCTCTCGCCATACCCCAGCATCCCGCTTGAATGTCCCACCCGCCCGACCCGTCCGTCAGGGGACCACCCGCCCGTCGAGGGCTCCCCCCCGAGACTTCTTCGAACGTTCACGCTCTTACCTTCCTGCTCCTCCTCCCTCTCCCTCCTCCCTCCTCTCCTCCCTTCTCTCTTCTTCCTCTCTCCCCTCATCCTTGTGCCTCCCTGCCCTATCCCCTCTCCCTCCTGTCCCTCCTCCCTTCTCCCTCCCCTCTCCTGCCTCCTCCCTCCCTTTTTTTCTCTCTTTCTCCCCTCTCTCTCTCTCTCTCTCTTTCTTTCTCTTTCTCTACCTCTCTTATATGCCTTTGTGTTTTTCTTTCTTTCTCTCTCTCTCTCTCTCTCTTTGCTTTTCTCTCTCTCTCTCTCTTCCTCTAATCAACCGCCCCCCTCTTCGCTTCTTCTTTCCTGGCGTTTTCCCTTTTCCTTCGTCCCCCCCTCCCTTCCTCCCACTCTCCCTCGTTCTCCCCATTTCTGCAGGTCCCACACCAATTCCAATGGCGGGCACATGTACGCCCACGAAAGATTGTCCCCCCGTTCAGGCTTGCCCGCCTGTCTAAGCCCGCCGCCCTCCGCGAAGAGAAAGAATCCGCCCAAAGGGGCTGTGATCGAAAACAAAAAGGGCGGGTATCGAGGGTGTGGGGAACTCGTTTTGAATGACACACGGGCAAATAAGAGCGAACAATATTGAATGATTGTTGTTGTTGTTGTTGTTGTTGTTGTTGTTGTTGTTGTTGTTGTTGTTGTTGGTCGTTGTCATCGTCCCGCCCGCGACCCACCCGCGGCCCGGCCCGCATCCCACCCGCGACCCACCCGCGACCCACGCGTGACCCACCCGCGACCGGGCCCGCAACCCACCCGCGACCCGCCAGCGATCCACTCCGCGACCCACCAAACTATCCACTCCGCGATCCGCCCGCGACCCACCCGCGACACGCCTGCGACCCGGCCGCGACCCGGCCGCAACCTGGCCCGCGACCCACCCGCGACCCACCCACATTGTGTTAACAAGAAATCGGCGCCTGCGGCGGGCTGGTTGAGAGCTTCGCAGACTGCTGACGTCCCCGCCGCCCCCTCACTCTTATCCAAGCTCCTTTCATCGAGAACCCAGAAAAATACCGAACACGGCGGGGAGGGGCTCCTCGGCGCTCTTGGGGTAGGCGGGGGGATCTGGCACATTTGTTGGGGGAGGAGCCTGGAGGGGGGGTCCTGGAAAGTCCTGGAATTTTTGGTGGTTTCCCTTCTGTGTCCCATTCCCGCATGCCGCGGCTCTCTATAGCGGAGTCTGCCCCTCGAGGCGCCCCCCCCTCCTCCTCCTCCTCCTCCTCCTCCTCCTCCTCCTCCTCCTCCTCCTCCTCCTCCTCCTCCTCCTCCTCCTCCTCCGCCTCCGCCTCTTCCTCCTCCTCCTCCTCCTCCTCCTCCTCCGCCTCTTCCTCCTCCTCCTCATCCTCCTCCTCCTCCGCCTTTTCCTCCTCCTCAACCTCCTTCTCCCCCTCCCCCTCCTCCTCCTCCTCCTCCCCCCTCCTCCTCCTCCTCCTCCTCCTCCTCCTCCTCCTCGTCCTCCTCCCCCTCCTCGTCCGCCTCGTGTACGCCGTCCTCGCCCGGCGCCCTCCTCAGGAGCCGCGAGGCGCCGTCCGCCCAGGTGGAGACGTGGGCGGAGGGCCCCGCGAGGCAGGGCAGGTGCGTCGCCGTGGGCGGCAGCAGCAGCTACCCGAGCGAGTGGCTGGGCCCCTGGGCAGCAGCGTCCTTACAGGCCTCCTAGATGGGGTCGGAGTAGATGGGGTCGGAGGATCTCGCCGCATCGCCGATACATCGGCGATGCATCTGCGATGCATCGGCGATGCGCCGGCGATGCGTCGACGACGTCAGCGATGCATGGGCGACTTCAGCGTGGGGAAACACGGGCTCCACATCGAGCCGCATCGCCGATGCATCGGCGATGCGGCGCGATCCTTCGACCCCATCTACTACGACCCCATCTAGGAGGCCTAGAGTCCTGAGGTCGGAGTGCGTGGGCGACATGCCGGGGGTGCTGTGTGGAAGGAGGCGCTTCGAGGAGGAAGGCCTGCGCTGGTGGATGCCTGCAGGGTGGCGGCCCGCATCTCCATGGCCGACCTTCGAGATGGACGGGTCAGCCTTCTCGAGGGGGAAGGCAACGACCAAACCGATAGACTCGCGAAGGCGGGGGCTGAGCTGCGCAGATGCCCGAACAATGTGATCCTGATGGCCAAAGGTATGCTCCATGTTTCGCAGCTGCTACTCCAGTTCATTCGCAGGGCAGTCACCCACTATTCCGACGAGGGCTAGCGGGACAATGCAAGGGCCCAAGGGCTCACGATGATCTCCCTGGAAGGGGGAAGATGGAGGAGGCGCTTGCTGCGGCTAGGAGGTCTGGTGAGGAAGGGGAGGTTCGGTCTGCCGTTGCTCCTGCCCGCCCTCCCCAGGACCCTCCTGCGCCCTCGCGCCATCCCCAAGAGCCCCTGGCGCCAGAGCTGGTGGCACAAGCGTTCGACGCCAAGCAGTCCCCTGCGTTCATAGGGGACGCGCCCTGCTGGAGTTCTCGATCAGGACCAAAGATCAGCCATCGATCCTTTTTTGCTCGACCTGTGGGGCCTACGCCACGGTGTCTGCGGGATCTCGGGACCTCAGACGGGGATGCGAGGGCTCCCAGCATGCCATTGTGGACCCTGGCAGGAAGAACTCGAGGGCGGTCTTCAGAGGGAAGCATCCCAACAGGCCTCTCAAGCTGGGCTCTTGGAGAACTCCTGGGGCCCGGGCGCAAGAGCTGGTTGGGGGAAAAGAGGGGCCCAAGAAGGCCCAGCAGAGAGGAAGTTGTTGTTTAAGGCCCGAAACGGGCCGCGATGAAATTTTGTGCTTGGCTGATGACCTCCAGGCCTTTGGGCAGAACGAGTCCGAGGCTGCCGAGTTGGGGCCAAAGCTGCAAGAGCGTACCCCAGACAAAGATCTGGAGGACGCGGAGGCGGTCTGTTGATACCCAGGGGGGGCCCCGTCGTTGGCCCCTGGCAGGTCGCTGTCTTTCCTGCCAGGGTGACCAAAAAAAGGTCCACTCCGAAGGGCCCCCCTGAGCTTTATGAACCGTCGCACCTCTTCCCCCCCTTTCCCCTCGGTGGCGTGCGACCCCCCTCCTCGCCCTCCTCCTCGGGCCCCTCGCCCGCGCGTTCTCAGCGAGGGGACGTCGACGACCGCGCCGCAGCACGCCTCGACCACGACGGCCCTGCCGCCGAGCAGGCCTGCGCTGCGCTCGGCGACCGCGGCCAGGGGCCGCGCCGCACGCGTGCTCCACCGGCGCCCAGTGGTGCTCGGCCAGCTTGGGGGCAGGGCTCGACCCAAACAGTGCTTGTCTTGTTCGTTTGCTTTTTCGGTTTGCCCTCGTCCTGTCGTCGTTCCACCCTCGCTGCAAGACGGAGCCAGAAGGTGGTGCTCGGCCAGCTTGGGGCAGGGCTCGGCCCAAGCAGTGCCTGCTTTGTTCGTTTGTGTTCGGTTTGCCCTCGTTCTGTCTTCGTTCCGCCCTCGCTGCAAGACGAAGCCAAAACGAAAACGGTCCACGACATCGCCCAAACACCGCTTGGGTCGAGCCCTGGCTTGAGGCACGCGGCGACGGCGGCGGCGACCGTCGTGACGGCGGGCAGCACGCGAGCAGGCCCCGGCTCCAGGCAGCGGTCGAAGGCCGCGCGGCTGACCCGATTCGCCCCGAGCGATTTCGCCACCGAGTCGACGGCAGGCAGCGTCACCAGCTCCCCGGCGGCGAGGGACTGCGCCATAGACGAAGCGCCTTCGGTCTCCGCGAACACCACGCGCGTGGTGTCAAGCCAGCCAGCAGCCGACAGGCCCTGCAGGATACCCAGAAGCAGGCCGCCATCCCCGGCACAAGTGACGACGGCATCGGGTGGCCGAGGCAGCGGCCGCGCAGTGGCCGCATGGCAGCGGCCGAGGCGGCCGCCATGGCTCGGCGCAGGGTCCCGCAGGAGTGGGCGCAGCGCCCGTGAGCCGCTGGAGCCGAAATGGCTAAGGAGGGAGCGCCCTGGAGTTCTTGGGGGCGGGGCGGCGTGCGCCGCCGCGCGCCATGGGGCGCCACTGGCCAGCCATGCGGACCTTTTTTCCCGACGGAGATGCATCAGCCTGGCGCGCACTTATCTGGTCGATTGCCCACGGGTGTGCACGCAAGGCGGAGTGAAATCAATGATCGCCTCCGCGGTGAACAGGAAGAAACTGCACTGGCGGGGTCTCGCGCCAGAGGCACAACCGCCTCGTGCGCACTTATCAGGTCGATTGGCCAAGAATGTGCGCGCAAGGTGGAGCGACCAGCTCTCTAAAGTAAAGAAATGCATCGAATTCACTGGGCCGACCGCAGGCGGATGTCACCTGCAAGCCAGCATTGCAGCCTGACGCGTCTTGGCGCGAACAGCACACATACTGAGGCGCCGACCAATTCCGTTTCTGACCATTCGAACGCCAACAATGAAACCACGCCCAAGCCTGGCGGCGATGTACAGGCAGATTGCGAGGACATGGAGAGCTATCACATGAACACTATGCGAGCGGGTCGCAACCAGCACAAAAATATCAGACTCAAGCAGGACTGACCAAGCCTGCCTGTGGCGTGGCTGGCTAATCGCCTTGGAATCTACATGGTGAAGCATGGGCGCGTCAGCTGTTGAGAATTGCAGTGGGAGCATCGATGGCAAAGAAAGGCCACCTGACTAAGACATAGTTAGTATATGGCACTGGCATGAGCAGTACTGCAATGAAACCACTTCTAGGCATCAAAACAACATTGAGACGGCTCTGGTACACTGGCCATACGTCCTTAAGCACCACGGCGGCCCATCTGAATGCGACGGTCCAGGGCACGTGCACATTTGCTTCAAGTCCAACCCTGTCGGACCACAAGCATATCGACACTCATATGAAAGGATGGAAACGAGGATCGCTCGTCAAAACTATTGTGGCGAGGTCGGGGCACAGCGTGGGCTACAGTCCAAGAGACGCAAGCTGGCGTTCAAGCATAGGTGCCAGACAGGCAAATTCAGAGACAATTGACTGGAGGCGTCCTCTGCAGGTCAAGTAAGGCCAGGGTCAAATTCATCCGCGCTCAACAGAACCAATATGCTTCTCATCTTACCTCAAGCTGTTGCCGTTTCCCAGATCTTCCACCCTACTCCTCCTTTGGCTGATGGTGCTGCCGCTGCTCCTCAAGGGGCCCAGCCCGCTGTGAGAATCGGCCCGTTAACCAACGGACGGTAATGCAACAAACCAGTAAACCGCGGCAGCCCGTGTGGCGGCGCAGGGAGTCCTCCCGTTCCAGGCGTAGTTATCCAGATGAATCACCTCCCACGCTCCACCCCACCCTCCATCGGATGCAGCCCCTGCAGGACCCCTCGCCCTGGCGGAGGCTGGGATCAGGAGGACTCTTCATCACAGAATCCGCAGACCTGCGCACAACTGACTCTAGGGAAGATTCCGATCAATCATCTCCCTCCCTATCCCACCCAACAGCGAATGCAGCTCCTGCAGGACCCCTCGCCCTGGCGGAGGCTGGGACCGGGAGGACCCTTCATCACAAACAATCCGCAGACCTGCGCACGACTCCACTCCGCGTCTGGCCGTGCAGAGCCCAGACTGGGGAAGCGGCCGCGGGCGTGCTGCGATCAGAGGAAGCACGGCCGCCACCATGCACAGCGTCACATAGGAGGAAGAGGAGGAGGAGGAAGGTCGAGAACCGTGGGAGCCGACAAGCATCACGAGAGCGAAAGCCTGGTGTCTGGCCTCGCCTCGAGCCTGCGGGGCCCACTGTGTGAACCATTGATGAGTGCTGCGGGTATAGTACAAGCGAGCCCTTTGTTCTCACTCGCACGCGCATCGCGAGACGAGGCTGCCCATGTGGTGAACAACAATAACCACCGCCCAGGCAGCATCTTAGGTATTATCGGTGAAGGGCTCTAGACTCTAAACCCGAATTGCGACGATGACTTCTTGAGATCAATCGGATGAATTGCAATAAGCTTCTCCTGGAAATCCCGCACGCTCTCCGGATACGAGAACGACCGGCCACCCCCTGCAGCCACGAAGACAGGAAGGAACGACAAGTCTCGTGTGGACCCGTCGATGGGGCCGGCTCGTGGGCCAGCGGCTCTGGCCAGGCCCCCGCTCAGTCGTCGTAGTACTCGGGCTGCGCGCTCAGGAGGATCGCCTTGAGCAGCTCTCTGCCCTCGGCGTCGAAGTCCCGCCACGCGGCTCCGCGAACGGGCGCCTCAACGAGCTCGCCCCCGCTGGAGAAGCTGATGCTGTTGCTGCTGGCAGGCTGCTGGCGGCCGCTCCAGGAGCCCACCAGGTCCAGGTGGTTGCACAAGGAAAGCCGCTGGGGCTGGCCCTCCATCGACCCCGTCCTGGTGCGCGGCCTGGGCCCCCTGGCCCTGGCACTGAAGGCTTCCATCTGGGCGAACTTCACGCCGCCGTGGGGGAAGTGGCAGCAGTTGCAGCCCTCGCCGCGGGGGCAGTTCTCGGGGGCCAAGTGGGAGCGGCACGGGCGGCACTGGCCCTTGAAGTGGTTTCTCGACCCCCCCTCGAGGTCGTGCCCGCGGCGGCCGGCGGTGGCGGCGCGGCACCGAGGGCGCGGCCCCCGCCGAGGCTCCGCAGGTCCGCGGGGGCGGCGCCCCGCTGCGGCGCCGGGGCGGCGGGGGCGCCGGCGATCTGGGTCGGGAGCTGCATCAACAACATCGCTTCGAGCTTCGGGTGGCACCCCGTCGTCGACACCGCCCCGGGCTGGGCGCTCCGTCTGCCCGGGCCAGCGCTGCCTGAGCCCAACTGGCTTGCGCCAAACTGGCTGCGGATGGCGAGCCATGCTGACTTGAGGGTCACATCTTTTTCACACGGGGTATCTGCTTGAGGCACGTCGCCAGGCGTGGGCTGCAAGATGCTGTGGAGAGCGAGAAAAAAGAGGAGGAGGGCCTTGGGGGGTCCTAGAACCGTCTGAGGACTTCAAGAGGGAATGGGGGCCACCGCGCTGTGCAACGGTGTGTGTGTGTGTGGTGTGTGCGCGCATATTTCGCTGCTCGCGCCTGAGGAGCCTCTGCGCCGCTGAACTCAAACGTGTGCGGATCTTTCGCCAATCTCGCGTCTTGCGAAATGGTGATTCGTGGCCCCCCGACGCATCGAGCCCAGCATGCGTCCGTTCTGTGACCCTGGGGTCTCTCCGCGCTCCCTGCATCGATGCCGGAGTCATGCTGCAGGGCGGAGGCTCCTCTGGAGCCCGCCCCCTCCGCGCGCAGCGCGGCCGCGGATGATCGAGCAACAGCATCACTGGACAGGCATACGAAGCACCACTGCTCTACTGCTCCTCCCCTCGGCGCGCGGCACGCGGGAGGGCCCGCACAGAACAGCACACACAACCACTGAGACGGTACTTCGCTTGAGCGCGCGGCACGCGACCCGTTCGGCGCATACGTGTATGCTCCCTTGTCTGCTGCTGCTGCTGCCGACCCTCGGCGTCTTCGTCGTCGTCCTCTGAGGGCCCGGCCACTAGTCTTGGCTCACGAGGTTCGCGCATGCTCGACCAATTCCGGTTCTGCACCGAATTCCTCGGCGGATGCGATTTGCCGGCACGTCGTCTCACCTTCTGCCCGCTCCTCTCAGGTCATCTTCTCGACTCCCTGCTCATCGACCTCCCTTCTCCAAGTACAGCGGCCCTCACTCTACTCGTCATCGCCGTCATGTCTCCGCTCTCGGCTTGGCCACCCCTTGCCCCTCCTCCTCCCCCTCCCCTATCCCCCTCCATCTCATGTAAACCCTGCCCCTGCAGGTCAGATTTCTGGAACACCGGAGGGCGCTCAGAATCCAACCAGCCCTCTGGACGTGAGTGGTTTAAAGCGTTTCCTCTTCCAACCCCCTTCCTCACCTTCGGGGAGGGGTTGCCACTCCCTCTACCCCCTCCCCTTGATCCAGATGGGGAGTGCCGCGACCGATTGGAGCGTCCAAGATGGCCTCAGCGAGAAGGCACAAAGTATGGATTTGACTTACGTGTTGGGCCCATGTTGTCTCCTGCGGGGGGGAGCTCATTGAGGACCCCCCTTCTCTCATCGAACTCCGCCAAGATGGCCCCGAGATGGCGTCAGGGCTCCCAAGAGTGCCCTAAGAGCCCTCAGAGGCGCCCAGAAGCCGCTAAGAGGTCCCCAAGAGGCTCCCAAGAGACCCCCAAGAGGCCACAAGAGTCTCCCCCGAGGCACCCTCAGGCGCTCCAGGAGGCCCCCAGGACCGCCAAGAGGCCCCAAAGACCTCCCAAGAGGACTCCAAGAAGATCTCAAGAGACATCCGAAGAGACTCTGAAAGATGCATCCAAAAGGCCTCTGGCCTTTCTGCTCGCCCTCCTCCTCCTCCTCCTCCTCCTCCTCCTCCTCCCTCCTCGTCCTCATCCGCCTATTCCTCCTCCTCTTCCTCCTCCTCCTCCTCATCCCTCCTCCCCCTCCCCCTCACCGTCCTCCTCCTCCTCCTCCTCCTCCTCCTCCTCCTCGTCCTCTCCCTCCTCCTCTTCCTCTTCCTTCTCCTGTTCCTCCTCCTCGTCCCCCTCCTCCTGCTCCTCCTCTGATTCCTCCTCCATCCTTCTCCTTGTGGGGTATAACGGCTTCCCCAACCCTTTGTTCCACCACATGCTCTTCCACATCTCTGAGCAGAACAGCTCGCCTGGCATCGTTTCTGAACGGGCTGGTGGGGTTACGCGAACCGTTCAGAATTTGAGGATGCCAACAACCAAGCGAATCCCCATGCGAGAAGGCCAGTGCCCAAGCGCCGATTGGGCTCGGAGGGGTAGAGGCTCGCAAATGATCGCAAATCTTGGGGGTCCCGAAACAGTGCGGTGACAGACCGTGTGGTGATATCGAAATCTACAACGACCTCACCGCACGGTCCGTCATCGCACCGTTTCGGGACCCTCGAAGCCCCCCAATCGCCCGAGAGGTCCTCATCAAACGACCCAGGTGCCCCAACTGTGCTGCCACCCCGGATCCCCATTGCCTCACCACACGGTGCGGTCACCGCGCCGTCTGGGGCATCCCGGACATCCTCCCTCCTGCCCCCGCGCGGGGGCTCCGGAAGAAGTGTGCCAGGCGCTGGCCGCTCACCAGCGCGTAATAGGTTATCACGGCCTGCGCCGCGGCCCTCGTGGCCTTCACCTCCGCCGTCGCTCCGTCGGGCGCGCGTCGTCGTGGTGGCGGTGGTGGTCGTCCTTGACTTCGCGACCGCCGCCGCCGCCGTCGTCTCCCTACGCTGGGCGTAGGACGTTCCGTGTGTCCAACATCGGCGCTGCGGTTCCACCGACGCCATCGCGCCTGCATCAGCGACGTCGTCCTCTCGGAGGCTTTCAACAACTTCTGGGAGCGTCGTTGTCTCGGCTAGGCGCAGCTCGAACAACTGGCCAGGATTGAACCACGAAGAGGGCCGCCCTTCGCGGTTCGAGGCTCCCGCGTAAGCCAGTGGCACAGGAGACGAGCGGGTGCACGTGAACGAACGACGGCACCAATCGCCTCGCGGCTTTGCGACTGTGCACCCGCCAATCCTCGTCGAAAATTTCGGGGAGCAGTGTAACCGCCGTTCGCTTCCAACTCTCTTATGCAAACTTCCACTCAAACCAGCGCCGCTGACCAAAACGTAAAACGCACGTGAACAAGATCCTCCTGCATAACTTGCTCCGGGCACTAGTTGGGCTCGTTGTAACGGGGTTCATTGCACTTTTCGTTGCCGATCTCACGCGGTCCCCAATACCGCCCACAAATGCGGCTCGACATCATTATTCTCCACGATAGATGTCTCGCGTTCCCACTATTTTTGCTGTCTTGAGATCCGGATTAAGTTAATCTTGCATGCTGTGCCAATCCTCCCCCCTCGACATCTACCCCTGCCTTCCCCTATCCCTCATGATCTCCCCCATTGCCCTTGCATCCCCCTTCCTCCCCACTCCACGATTTACATTCCGACTTGCCACTACACCCTCCGATGGCCAGCCAGCCAGCCAGGTTTTGCACGTCGCTGATTTCAACATGGACGATCCTTTGCCCACGCCACAACATGTGTGGCAATAATGGGGCGGGTCTCACATCCCGCGCAAAAAGGGCGTGTTGTTCCTTTCGCCACGGCCCGCGCGCCCATTCGGACGCGGCGCAAATGTTTTGCACGCCAACTCGTCGACCCGGCTGGGGACAAACATGTCGGTCTCGCGCCGGCAACGTGCAGATTTCGCGCCTCGGCGCCGCGCACACCTGTTACTCGCCAAGGCAGTCCCTGTCAGAGGCGAAGCACCAACAAAAGCCTCGGTCCTATGTGGCAAGGCTCGAAGGAGAGATGAAGGGGCATCGGCGTCAGATGGCGATGACGAGGATGTTCTGTCACAGAATGTGCCGCACCGCGCTGAACGCCCTCCCGCCAGGCGAAGCGGGCCCCCGCCACCGCGCATCTGTTGCGTCGGCGGCGGAGACCAGTCTAGCGCAGGGCGGGGGGGGGGCCCTGGCGGTCCCCACAAAAGGGGGCCATCTTGACCCAGAAAGGCTTGAGCCCGCAGTGGGCAGGTCCAGAGGAGAACAGGAACCCGCACATCTCTGGTGGCCGAGTAAGCATTGCCCTCACAGCAAACAAGAAAGCTGCCTCTGCCAGAGACGAAACACCAACGACAGCCTCGAGCCTATTGTGTGCTGAGACTCGAGGGAGAGAGACGGCATCGGCGTCAGATGACGATGACGATTATGTTGTGACACAAGATGTGCTGTACCGTGCCAAACGCCTTTCCCCCGCGCGAAGCGGCACCCCGCCGTCGCGCAACTGTTGCGTCGGAGGCGGAAACCAGTGTAGCGCGGGGCGGGGGGGGCCCTGGTGGGCCCCCACAAGGGTGGCTCAGCTTGACCCAGAAAGGCTCGAGTCCCTGGCGGGATAACGGGAGGGAGAGGCAGAGGTGGGAACGAAACGAAAACTGGGAACTCGCGCATCTCTGGGGGCCGAGTAAGCATGGCGCTCACAGCAAACAACCAAGCTGCCTCTGTCAGAAGCGAAGCACCAACGAAAGCATAGAGCCTATGAGCTGAGACTCGAAGGAGAGATACAAGGCAGCATCGGCGTCATATGACGACGACGACGACGACGACGAGGACGACGACGACGACGATATTCTCGCGCAAACTGTGATGCGCCGCGCCGAGCGCCCTGCCGCCACGCGAAGCGGGACTCCGCCGCCCCCTTTCAGCAGGGTGTTGTGGAACTCCGCGGCGCCGTTCGCTAGGTCAGTCCCTCGTCCTCGCAGGCCGTGGCCACCTCGGAATCGCCCTGCGTGGACGAGCAGAGCCCAGACTGCGCCACGGCGTTGGGCTCCAGGAGCTACCCAGCGGGGGCCCGCCGAGCATGAACCCGATCGCCGGCAGCTCCCTCTTGGGCAAGCCAATGAGCCTGCCTGTCACCCTCAGGCTCGCCAGGCCAACGAGCAGAGGGATGGCAAGCGACGCTGCGCGGCGGGCGGTCGCCGATGCCACAGAACGGCCGACGGTCCCCCTCCGCCCAGCCTGGGCGACCAGCAGAGGAACTCGCCGCCCAGCCAGCGCCCTGGCACCGTGCGGCCTGGCATGGCCCCCGGAATCTTGTGGGCCTCCGCCGGAATAGACCTCCGGAGAACCCGGCCTGAGGCCACCTGAGGCCAACCCCCAGCTTGACCCAGAAAGGCGTGAGACCCCACTGGGGTAATTAGCGCAAGAGAGAGGCAGAGGCAGCAGCAGAAAAGAAAGACAGCCCGCACATCTCTGGGGGACGAGAAAGCCTACGCAGCGCTTATATCAAACAAGTAATTGGTTGGGCCCGCGCGAACGGGCGAGTTGTCGCCCTCGACCAAGCTCCGCGCGCGCGTGTTTGTGTGTGTGTGTGTGTGTGTGTGTGTGTGTGTGTGTGTGTGTGTGTGTGTGTGTGTGTGTGTGTGCGTGCGTGCGTGCGTCCGTCCGTCCGTGCGTGCGTGCGTGCGTGCGTGCGTGCGTGCGTGCGTGCGTGCGTGTGTGTGTATGTGTGTGTGTGTGTGTGTGTGTGTGTGTGTGTGTGTGTGTGTGTGTGTGTGTGTGTGTGTGTGTGTGTGTGTGTGGGGTGTCTGTATGTGTATGTGTGTATGTGTGTGCGTGCGTGTGTGTGTGTGTGTGTGTGTGTGCTTGTGTGTGTGCTCATCGGAAAAAATGCCGCTCCCGCCCCTGCGCGGTCCGCGAATCGCTCCCTTCGTCAAGTCGTCGGAGGCAGGGCCGAGCGCGAACGCCGTCCGTTCGCTGGGTGGGAATGCGTTCCAATCCCACTACCAAGTTGTGCCAGGACTGGACATAAACGCTGTGGTTCGTTTTGTTAACGTTTCGTTTTTCATTCTGCTCGACCTGCTTTCCTGTACCTCCCTGCCAAATCGAAAAACAAAACACGGCCGAAGTCCAGCAAAGCAACGCTCAGGTCCAGCCGTGAGCTGTGCCGCAACTGACTCGTACGCTACGGGAGGGAGGGTGGGCATGGGCGGGGCCCGCTGCCAAGTTCGACCTGACGAAGCTGACCCCGAGCTCACTTCACTACACCTTGCCCCGTGGCCCTTCCGCTGCCTGCTCTCCTCTACCCTCCCAGCCTCCCACCTCTCCTTCTCTTTCCTCCCCATCCTCCGCCATGCCTCCCAGAGAAACCTCCGAAGCAGCGTGTTTTTTTGCGACGTGCAGCCTGGAACGATCGGCCCCTTCCGTGGGACGCCTGTGTCACTGCGGCTCGTCCTACGACGGCCCCAGGGGGCCCCCGGAGCGCGCCCCCCGGGCCGAAGTAGAGGCGCAAAACCCCGGAGGTGCCTGCTTCTACGACGTCTGGAGCTCCAGGCGTCCCCTCCTCCTCGTCCTCCTCCTCCTCCTCCTCCTCCTCCTCCTCCTCCTCGGGCGCCGGATCGCAAAACCACCTCGGATCGGAACGAGCATAGCAGAACGATATGGGGCTGCATCGGTTCGGAATCGGGATCGAATCGAAGGGGCCGCGACAGGATTCACAACGACGCCATGCGAACATCAGGGCCGCGGCGGATCGCTGGAGCATTGGAGTCAAATCGGATCGGCCAATATCAATATCGATAACGGTATTGGGATCATCGGCGTGTGAGATGCTTCCCCCTCCCCAAACCCCTCCCCCGGGAGCCCGGTCCGGTCGATTTGGAGGGGGGGGGGGGGTCCGGGACGAGCGCTCCACGGGGCTTTTCCTGGCCCAAGAGGGCTTCAAGACGGGCCACGAAGCCCCCAAGAGGCCTCCAAGACGGCCCACGAAGGCTCCGAGAAGCCAAACGACCGCTTCAAGACGCCCACGATGGCCCCAAGACGGGCCAAGAGGTCTCCAAGACGGCCCCTGAGGTCCCAAATGAGCCTCCCAAGAGGGCCCAAAGAGTCAAAAATTGCTGATTTTCCAGTGTTTTTCGATGTTTGTTGCTTTTCCGCCTTTCCGGCTTCCCGACGCTCCAAGACGGGCAAAAAGGCCCCAAAGATAGCCCCAAGATGGCCCAAGAGGCCCCCAAGACGGCCTCCAGACGGCCCAAGACGGCCCCAAGACGGCCCAAGAGGTCCCCAAGACGGCCCAAGAGGGCTCCAAGACGGCACCACGAGGGGCCCAAGAGGGCGACCAAACATGTTGAAACTCTAGCTTTCTGCCCCCAGGAGCCCCAGGGGGCCCCAAGAGTGCCCCAAGAGGCCCCCAGAGGCCCTCACGAGGCCGCCCAGACGCCCCAAGGAACCCCCAAGAAGCACCCCAGAGGCTCCGAAACGGCCCCCGAGTGGCTCCAAAACTCGCAGTGTCGCTGTCCGCTCGGACCTCCCCGCGGAACTGCCCGAGACCCTCTGGCGGTGGCGGCGAACAGACACCAAACAAATATCACTCGCCTTTTCACCCCTTCGCAGCTTCTACTACCCCCAGATTGGCATAAACAAGGGGTCGGCGGTGTGGCGTAAGCCTAAGAATCAATATCGATAACAGTATTGGACCGATCGGATCGAAGCGCATCGGCATCGTGACGAACGTTCGCGGCAAGCCACGTAAATGAGTATGTTCCCTATAAATCTCGAGTTGCCGCCCTCGCATCACGAAGAATCGCGTGATGCGCCTTCTCGTAACACATGTGGCGGGTTCCGGAAACACTGAACTCAAAAACGTTGTCATCTCTTGGGGGCGCATGCTTCACTCCAGCCACCTTCCGCCACCCTTCCGCTGTCTTCCGCCAGCGGAAGAGACGATAACTCCTTCGATTCTCGAAGACGAGGCCATTTCTGGAACGCCTCATGCGGAGTATCTACTTGCGCGCACGCGTCTTTGCTCCCGTCCTGGGTCATCTGCCCCCACCCCAGTGGCCATGCGCCGCGAGATGGCAGAGAAGCGACGACAACGAAGATTCGGCGGGGCCGCCACGGCGGTGCTTGTGGCGAGCTCCGAAGGGGCGGCGACGTCCCCGACGAAAAGGTCCTTGGCCACACACCAGACCTGCCAGCGGTGGGAGAGGATCACCACCACCATCATCGTATTCAGCACCATCATCATCACCACCATCATCACCACTACCATCCTACTCCACCTCCTCCTCTTCCTCCTCCTCCTCCTCCTCATCATCATCATCATCACCATTACCATCATGACTGTCATCGCCATGCTCGTCCACATCCTCACTGTCATCATCGTCCTCATCAAATGGCACAATTCGACCCTTTGGCAGCCCAAGAGATTCGTATAGGCACAGGCATGGTTGCTAGGGAATGCTTCAGAAGGGGCGTGAGACCGAGTGTCTGGGAAGCCCCTGTCCACGCAGAGCTTCAAGGCCTCACGTCGGCTGAAGACCGACCATAATTCGGTCTGGAATTATGTGAACGAGGTGGGAAATGACGCTGGGGTCATTTTTGTCCGTGTCATGAACATCATCATCATCATCATCATCATCATCATCATCATCATCATCATCATCACGATACTCAAGACACCAGCTCGTGGGGCAATGAAGCGTATGTCGATCATGGAAGGTGGTGTGACCGGGGAGGACAATATCAATAAGCCTAAGTAACACACCCAACATCCGTAGAATAGGAGACGATGATGATGAGGATGATGATGATGTTGTTGATGATGATGAATGATGCTGATTATGGTGGTGATGATGAGTATGATGATACTGATAATGTGATGATGATGACTTCATCATATATCAGTATATACTCTCAGCCAGTGCGAATACCCGAGCCACGATAGCGACATGTTGAAAGAGGAGAGGGGCATTTGGGGGTATACGCACAGCTGGGCCTGGATGGGTAAGCACAGCGGCCGCTCGCCCGCCACCGCGGGCCAACCCACTTCCCACGTCTCGCGAGCAGGAAGAACCTGTGTCACCCACGGCTGGACCTAGGACAGAAGAACGTCCCTCAAGAACAGCAGACCCTCCGCTGGCCAAATACACATAGGACATGTAAGGGTACCCTCACTGGGATATTCAAAAACATCCACCAAACACGAAGAACATCAAAGAACCCTCCCGAACCGACCTCGATCTTATATCGGGGATCTACTGACCCAGCTCAATCCAGACCCGGTCAGTCAGGCCTTGCAGGATACTGCAAGATCCTGCAGGATCCTGCTGGATCCTGCGCCCTAACCCTGGTCAGTGCAACCCTGGCGTTGCAGGATCCTGCAAGATCTGGCGCTCTGACTGACCCCCGTTTGCACTGACCTCCGTCTCTCGAGCCCGACTTATCCCTCGGTCCAATCGTACTGACTTCGCGACTCGCGCCCCGCCGTGGCGGGCAGCTATCCGGCCGCGAGCCGCGACGCGCGGCGCGCGACTGTCCTCGTCGCGCTCCGGGGTGGGGCACTGGAGGACGTGGGAGGGGCAGGGCTCTGACTAAACATTGTGTGTCGTTATCGTTTTGCTCTCGTTCTCCTGCACTCTGTCTCCGCTCTGCCCTTGCTGCGAGACGGAGTCAAAACGAAAACGATCCGGGAAATCGCCAAAACACTATTCACCTCGAGAGCCCTGGGGAGGGGTGACCCCTCGGGCACCGCTCCCATTTCGCTTCCCCCCTTGCATGTTTCTGGGGCACCACCGCTGCGCTGCGGGTCCTGCAGGAGACGGGTCCTGGATCCCAGCCAGGGTTTCTCCAGGGACCAGCTCCCACATCGCCTCCCACTGCCTGCCGCCCCGCCCTGCCCTCCCTGTGCGTCTGAAGCAGAGACGGCAAGGTCGGCGTCGAGAAGGATTTTGGGAGGAGGGAGGGGAGGGAGGATGCGAGGTGGAGGAGGTGGAGGAGGTGGCCAAGCAGAAGAGTAGAGTAGAGGGGCGGGGAGGAAGGGGGATGGTAAGAGGATGGATAGGGGGTCAGGCTTGTAGTGGTCAATCAACAGATGTTCGCATTCGACGAGGGTCTGCTTGAATGCTATGTCGCAGGTCGGAATGAACACCATCCGACTCTGTTTCTCCTACTCCTCCTGTATGCTCCTCCTGTGTGCACTCACCTGGGTGCACACACTCTGGGGAGGCAAGTGTAATGGGGTCAAACGGGGGAGTGAAACAGGAGGCGGGGAGGATAACCAACTATCAAGACCCCGACTACCCGTGCTCGAATACTAACTTCATTCCCGCGCGCGGCACCCCATATCAAAACGGATGTCAAATATCGAACTAATGCGGTGGCGCCCAGCGCAATTAATTACGTGTGTAGTCGGTTGTTTCCAGAGCCACTGCTGGGAGTATCTGGACATTCTGGCTTGGACGAAGAATTGATGCGCGGGTGATGCAATATGTAGCGGTGCATCGTGGGCAAGATGGTTCGAAAGCGGCACCATCCACAGTGCACACCATACAAGGCAGGAGCACTGACCTTGTCGATCGCCTTCACCTCGAAATGCCTCCCTATTCGCACCTACGCCAAGCCAATGAGCAAGCAGATGCTACGCTGCTCCCTCTCTCTCTCACACGTAGCCTCGCCGCCACACGCCTGCGTTGCCAAATGCCGTCCACGCCGACTCCTCCCTCAGCAGTTGCCGCAGTGTGCGCTTGCCGCTCCTCGGCTAGTCTCCCTGCACCCCCGCCGACTCCGACCTGTGATCGACCAACAAAAGGAACCCTAACCCTTTGAGAGGGGACCCAAGTTCCAAGTTCGGAGGGCAGAAAACATGAGGGATAGGGGGTCGTTTCTGCAGATGTGTCGAACCAAACCACCCAGAACTATGATCCCTAACTAATCGAAACAAGGAGACCTCAGTCAGGCCGCGTCTTCACTGTGATATTAGGCTTATGTGGTCCTCTTAGTCTCGATGACTCTGAATCATCCACGATATTCTGCACTCACGTGCAGCAAACGTGGAATCCGTACCGAATACCTCTATCGTGGCAAACGGAATGGGGGGGGGATCCACCGCACGCAATTGGACTTCCTAGCGCCTGGAGGCGCCGGGAGTGCTGATCACCATCGCCGCGCGAGCTCTTCGAGTGCACCGGCAACTGACTTGGAAGACAACTAATTTCGTATCATGTGCCCAACGATGAATTGGCCCAACAACAGGGCAAGCCCAGCAGATTTCGTACCGCTTTCCTTCCCCCACCCAACTTGTGGGTACAAGCAAGTGCTGATACGGCTACTCCTCAGGCCTCTGCCAGGGTGCGTTCTGACTAGGACTTCGAGGTGAATCCAGCGTGGCGAGAAGGGGTGGGTAATGGTACAGCCATCGCGCTACCAAACGGAAAACCAAGCAAGGAACGAATGGGCTTTTTCTAGCCAGGGCGAGACTCGGCCACGAACAACTTCCCGAACACAGAAGTCTAAGAAACGGCCCCGAAGCCAGACCCTCCTGAGCCCAAAGTGGTGCTCATTCCAGCGCCTTCACTGCATCGCCTGATCCTTCGTCCCCCCCCGTATCTCCAAAGAAAGGGAGCGATTCACCCATCGGAGGCACGAGTGCCAGGCCAAAGAGGCCATTCCACTCGAGCTTCTCGACCTGGCGCTGGCCGAAGGACCCACCCCCCCCGCCCAGGGCCAGGCACGCCTCTCTTCGGGCGCGCGCAGGGGCGCGGGGCCGAGTCGGAGGACGGACGGAGGATGGGAAGGACAGAGGGAGAGACGGATATGTGAGCACGGGCAGTGTCCAAGCTAGCTTCCCCAAACCGTGTTTGCACTCGAGGGTTCTCCGTTCTTGGCGGCGCGCCAAAAGTGGGCAGGGGAAGCGGGGAAGGCTTCTCGAGAGGCATCTACAAACAAGACCCGCGCCTTCTAAGAACCAGGAAGGCTTCTAAGGAAGCTGGCACACTCCCCCCATATACCCCCTCCTGCGCGTGGCCGAGATCATCTTCCAACAGACCGGGCCCGGGCGCGGCCCTGGCGGCCCCGTTCCCGTCCGCCGCCACAGAACCTGTCCCTGGTGAGAAACCGTGTGCAAGCCCGGCGGCTCCGTGTCGCCGCCGCCCCGTTACCCCCCCCTCCGTTGCACTGCACTCGCATGGCATTGCAATCGCACCGCATCGCATTGCATGACAATCGTATTCCGTTTCGTTGCTTGCATTGTCTTGCGAGCGCATTGCGTTGCGATCGCATCGCGTTGCACGGCCTTGCAATCGCATTGCATCGCAATCGCATCGCAATCGCAATGCAACGCATTGCTCTGCACAACGTAGCTTGCACCAAATGGATTGCACCACCTAGATTGCACCGCGCACCGTGCAACACAAGCACACGTGTATGCATGTGTGTGTACACATACATACATATGCGAATGCACATCCATACACATGATATACACATACAAACGCATAACTATATATATATATATATATATATATATATATGGAAGTCCCCCTTCGGGCGGGGACTTCGTCATGAGGAGGCCACGTGCAGAGAAAGAGAGAGAGAGAGAGACAAAAGAGAGAGAGAGAGAATCTATATATATATATAATAGGAATATGTATATATAGCCCCCCCCCGACGCACCAAGAACCCCCTTTCTCCCGATTAAAAATGAATTCGTATATGATTCCTACGATTTTCGGACTTCATGTTGAGGCTCATTTTTGGAAGACTTTCTCAACTCATTTTGAACTTGACAATAACCTTCTACTCAACTCCCCCCGTCTCCAACACACCATCCAGTACTCAACACCCTCCGTCTCCAACACACCACCCGATACTCAACAGGCTCCCTCCTCAAGCTGAACTTGAAATGACACCAGAGAAAAACCCCAATCAGATTTTTTTTAATCTTCCAATTGCTCCCTTATAGGGCTATAGGGCTATCGGGCTATAGGGCTATAGGGCTATCGGGCAATAGGGCTATAGGGCTATCGGGCTATAGGGCTATAGGACTGTGACCTATAGGGCTATAGGGCTATGGGGCTATAGAGCTATATGGGCTATGGAGCTATAGGGCTATAGGGATACAAGGCTATTAGGGCTATAGGGATATGAGGCTATAGGGCTACAGAGCTATAGGGCTATACGGGGCTATGGGGCTATTGGGCACCCCCGGGCACCCGGGCAACCCCGGGCCCCCGGGCCCCCGGCCACCCGGGCCCGGCCACCGAAATCGGCCACGCACCTTACCGGCCACCCGGGCACCCGGGCACCGCCAGGCACCCGGGCACCCGGGCACCCGGGCCCGGCCACCGAAATCGGCCACCAACCTCACCTAACCCTTTAATCCGCTAGGACCCCTACAGAGGCAATCTCTGATTGGGGAATACCCTTCTACTCAACTCCCTCCGTCTCCTACACACCATCCAGTACTCAAAAGGCTCCCTCCCCAAGCTGAACTTGAAAATACCCTTCTACTCAACTCCCCCGTCTCCTACACACCATCCAGTACTCAACTCCCTCCGTCTCCAACACACCAACCAGTACTCAACACCCTCGGTCTCCAACACACCACCCGATACTCAACAGGCTCCCTCCCCAAGCTGGACTTGAAAATACCCTTCTACTCAACTCCCTCCGTCTCCTACACACCATCCAGTACTCAACACCCTCCGTCTCCAACACACCACCCGATACTCCACAGGCTCCTCCCCAAGCTGAACTGGAAAATAACCTTCTACTCAACACCCATCGTCTCCAACACACCACCCGATACTCAACAAGCTCCCTCCCAAAGCTGACCTTGAAAATAACCTTCTACTCAATTCCCTCCGTCTCCAACACACCATCCAGTACTCAACATCCTCCGTCTCCAACACACCACCCGATACTCAACAGGCTCCCTCCCCAAGCTGAACTTGCAAATAACCTTGTACTCCACTCCCCCCGTCTCCTACACACCATCTGGTACTCCACACCCTCCGTCCGCAACCCTCCACCCGATACTCCACACCTGTCTTCTCCATCACACAACCAACCTTTCTGCCATACTTCTTCCTTTACGGTTGCAGCGCGCGCCTTCCGCCCCACTTTTCTCTTGGCATCTTCCAAGAGAAAAAAGGGGGTTCATGGTGCGTGTTGGGACCTATCTATATATATATATATATATATATATGCGCCGGTACATGTGTAAACATACACAGATTAGCCAGCGTGGACCCCAAGGAGTGATGTCTTTCAATCCATGCGGTGCAATCGAGGTGGTGCAATCAACGTGGTGCAACCTAGGTGGTGCAATCAATGAGGTGCAACCAGTGCGATGCAAAGCCATGCAAAGCAAGACACAGCAATGCAGGGCAATTCAAGCAATGCAACGCAATGCGAATCAATGCGACTTAATGCAAATCAATGCAACCCGATGCAAGCCGGTGCGAAGCAACGCAATGCAAAGCACATTAATGTAATGCAAACTAAGAAATGCGACGCATTGCAGCACAATTCACATCAATGCAACATGATGCAAAGCAATGCAAAACAATGAACATCAATGCACTGCAAAGCAATGCAACGCAATGCAACGAGCATCAAAGTAAACCAACGTGAAACAATGCAATGCAATGCCACGCGATTGCCAGGCGACAGGCGGACAGGCATACAGACAGACACAGACAGAGGGTGAGAGGGAGAGGGGTTAAGTTAGGGGCCGAGGGATGGAAGGAGGAGGAATAGGAGGAGAGGGGAGAGAAGTAGAGGAGACCTCGAGAGGAAAAAGAGGGGGAAGGGAGGGAGGGAGGAGGGGATGACGATCAGGACGAATAAAGCAGACATCTGACGTTATCTGCGATGCCTCGAGGTGCTGCGGTCGTCCAAACTCCCCCGCTCCTGGCAATCACGTCCAATCTCGTTATAGCTTGAGGCCGAAGTCGGAGATCGACGTGGCCGGGCGCCTCGTAAGCGACCAGCTGTTGGACCACGTCGATCGACGTTGGGTCGAATGCTCACTGGAGCGATGAAGGGAGTGGGGACGGGGCCCGCTGACTCGCTCGAGCTGTCCACCTTCCATAGGGGGCAAATGAACCTACCTCGCTTTTGACCACCCTCGCTTCCAAGAGATACCAATACTTTGTTTTGCCTGGAAGCGAAAGCGGGGTAGGTCATTCACGCTCGGATTCCAGGTGCACCTGACCACCGATCTAGACAGTGGGCGCGGGTCAGGCCTGTGCCGCCCGACTTGGCGACGGTGCGCACCGATTTGAGCATGGAAGCGAGGCCCGTCGCCAACCCGTGCGCCCCCGAGCCCATGGCTGCGCCTCCTCGAAGGATGCCGCCCGCTCCTTCGCCATCTCCTCCCCTACGCTGCGAGGGCGAAGCCTGCTCACTTCAAGGGTGGCGGGATGTCCCCTCGGTATGTTGCGGTGTTTCTTGGTCTTGCCTGGTGCGCGTGCCGTGCACAGGGGGACTCGCACAACCCTCTACCGTCAGCGACATCAGGCATCGTGCCAGAGTAAGGAACACATGCTAAGGGACTGAGGGGCTTGCCTGGCCACGGCGAGCCCAGGCCACAAACGAGTTCCACGACGTACATCTAAGGAACGGCCCGAAAACCCGGGATCCTCCTGCGCCCAAAGTGGTCCTTATTTCAGCGTCTCGGCTGTACCTCCCTTCTTCTCCCGACGGGTGGCGCAGCGGAACCACCTCCGCCGCCGCCGGGCAGAGGGCCTCAAAACGTCCCAATTGATGGGCGAGGACCTTCCCGGCGCCCCCCTGGAAGAGGAGGAGGAAGAGGAGGAGGAGGGAGACCTTTCCCTTGTCTGACGTTTCCTTCCTCTGGCCTTCCTCCCTCCCTCCTGGCCTTCTTTCCTTCCCTCCTTGCCTCTTTCCTCCTGTCCTTCCTTCCTTCCTCTTCCGTCCTCCCTTCCTTCCCTCCGTCCTTCCGTTCTCCTTTGCTTTTCTGACGGTTCCTCCCCGCCGCCTTCTGCCACGTGTGCGCGGTGCATGTGGCCCTCGTGAGGTCCAAAGGTCTGCAGGGTCCCCCTTGCCACCTTCCCTCCCCGTGTGACCTGTGCCGCCCGCCCCCCTCCCCCCTCCCATCCCTCCGCTCTGATCCCTGCCTTCTCCCTGGCGCGGCTGCTTACACGACCCTGCGGCTGGCCCAGTCTTTCTCCTTCCCCCCCCCCTCGTGGCGGCGACAGCGTCGGGGCAGGCCTGATGCCGCCTGACTTGGCGACGGGGCGCGCCAGACTGCGTGTGAAAACCAGGCCCGTCGCTAACCCACGCGCCATATTGTCCATGCCTGCATCGCAAGTCCACGCACCTCCATCCATGCTTGCGCGTTTTCTCGACCCTTCCTCTCGGGTTCTCTCCTGTCTCCCCTTGGCGGCGCGCACAAGGGAGGAGGGCAGGGAGGGGGGAAGACTTCTTAGGAGCCTTGCCTCTTAGAAGGCGCTGGCCTTACATTTGCAGGCCAGGCGTGCGCCTTTTAAGAAGCAAGGGTGCTTCTGGTAACCCTGCCCCCCTCCCCTGCCCCCCTCTGCGCGTGGCTGACCTCCTCCCTCCTCCCACAACCCTGCCTCTTTGTCCCCCTTTCCCATCCCCCTTCCCTCTTCCCCCCCTCAGCCCTCCTCCCTCTGGCCAACGCCACCTTCCCTCCTCCCAGCTCCTCCTCTCTCCTGTCCCCTCTCTGCTCGATCACAGAGCCGTGCGGAGGAAACACAGTCATCCGCCCTCCCTCCGTCCATCGGAAAAAAACAACGACATAAACAGGATCCGTGCTGACTTCTTCGGATCGCCGCGGGACCTCCTCCCCTGGCGCCGCCCAGCGCAGATCAAATCCGCGCAGACCTCCGAGAGCGAATGCTCACGTACATGTTCTTTCGACCCTCCCGCCTCCTCCACCTCCTCACTCCTCCTCCTCCTCCTCCTCCTCCTCCTCCTCCTCCTCCTCCTCCTCCTCCTCCTCCTCTCCTCCTCCTCCCCCCTCCCTCCTCCTCCTCCTCCCTCCTCCTCCTCCTCCTCCTCCTCCTCCTCCCTCCTCCTCCTCCTCCCCCTCCTCCTCCCCCTCCTGCTTCTCCTCCTCCTCCCCCTCCTGCTCCTTCTCCTCCTCCGCCCGCCGAGGCAGCTTGCGGGAGGCCGCCGACCTGCTCCGACCCCCGGCCCGGTCGGCCCAGACCGCCGAAGCTGACCCCCCTCCCGACCTGCCGCGGCCCATCCTCGGCCGCAGCAGGCCCGGGCGGGGCCCCAGCGCGCCCGTCCTCCTCCTCCTCCGCGGAGGAGGAGGAGGCAGGACAGGGAGAGGGGCAGGATAGGGAGGAGGACCCTCTTCCCGTCCTCCCCGTCCTCCTCGTGGCACCTCTTCGCTCGCTCGCTCGCTCGTTAGGGCTGCCCAGGATTCCCTCGCCATGGGAGCAGGCAGAACAGACAGATCACGTGCTCCGTGTACAACTTGTGATATGAAGACCCCGAAGGAGGGACCCGATTTTCGGACGCCGAGCCACGCAGGGCACAGGGCCGCTCGAGGACCCAGCCCCTGCCACCAAATTTGCTCACACGTAGCATCCTCGTACGCCAGGCTGGTGGCGGTGAGGGGCCAAGGGCTCCGATCACGCTCCAGGAACGCACATCCCTAACCCACAAGCCAACACCAGGACATCGGGCCTGACCCGACTCTGTGAAGAGGCAGGCAATAATAACCCATGGCATGGTGGTGACACGGGGCAAGCGACAAGGAACTGCGGAAAGGCCGAACGGGTGGAACACGAAGACGCACCAAGCATGGCACAACATGGGAAGCAACGCATGCAGCAATAATGAAGGCGTTTCTGATCCACTCGTTCTCTGCCGTCACGGCCTTCACACTGCGCTCGGGCACGTGTGGGAGTCCTCCTCCTCCTCCTCCTCGAGGCCCTCCCCGCATCAGGAGAGGGCAGCGGGGCGGGATCACCCCCCGAAAACCTCAGCTGTATCCGAAGTCCACCTCCTCCTCCTCCTCCTCATCATCATCATCATCCTCCTCCTCCTCTCCTCCCTCCTGACTGATCCCTCTCGTTTCTTCTCACTTCCCTCCTTCCCCTGCGACGGCGACGGCGTCGGCGGCAATGACGGCGGCGGCGGCGGCGGCGACGCTGAGGGCGTCGAGGCCAAACGACGACGACAAGAACGACGGGCGTGCCTCCGCGATCTCCGCCTGGGCCGCCTTGTCCGCCCCCGACAGCGACGGGTCCGAGCCCCTGGCCTCTCTGGGGGCGCGCGGCGACCAGGCTGCCGCGCGCCGATGTGAGCGGCGATCGAACACGGATCTTACGCGAGATGGCACAGCGACCTTATGCGGTGGCTTACGCGGGCCGCCGGCGCGGCACGCTACATTGGAAGAGAGGCGCGTACGCTCGAGCTTACGCGGAAACTTGCGCGCCAATGTCGGCGCAGACGACCTAGTTGTTTTGCGTCGCTCATGTGGAGATGGAGCGGATGGCTGTGAGGTCTCCGTCGGAAGTAGTAAGGAGGATGAAGCCCCACTGGGGGCTGCTACGCCAGGTGAGGCCGCGGATAAGGCGGGATTAAGCTGAATGAAGCGGGATTAAGCCGGATTGAGCGGGACTGAACACGATTAAGCTGGATTTCGGGCCAGGCAACGTCAGAGTTAGATCTCCCAGGAGTTTCATCCGAAAAGCTGTCATGGAGATGGAAATGGAAATCGATGTAAAAAGAATTGAAATATTAGCAAGCAACTTCGTGGGAATCCTTGTGCGGACGATTACCTATTGCGCCAACCGGCTAACGGGCCATGAAGCCAGAGCAAGACAGACTAAGCCCAATGCTAAGCTAGATTCAGCGGGTTTCAGCCTGATCAAGCGGGAGTACGCCAGAGAGTAGGACGTATCACAACCGCGGATGTACGAACGCATTTTGTAATTTGCGGCGATAGCGGTCGTTATTGGGGGGGAAAGGGGGTCGGGGGGGGGGGGCATAACGTAAGGCCCCCCCCCAGACAGTGGAGCCGGACGAACCACTGCAGCTTTGCCAGTGACGCACTGAAGGGGGGGGGGGGGCGAACGCGCAGTATGGCCCAGAGGGTACAAAAGAAACTCTCTACCAGTACCGATGCTGAATCTAAACTCCCAAGGGTTACAACCACAAACATGGAAATCTAGGCTGGCTACACGCAAGAGTGACCCTGGGCAAATGAGACCTTTGATGCGCGGCATCGTGGAGGCCGCGGGGGGACCAAGCACAACCGCGCAAGACGGTGCTAGCGCATCGCGTTGAGCGATCGGGGGACCCCAATGGGCCCACACCAAAGGTCACTCCGGCGATGGGTCCCTCTGACGTGCAGTCGATCTAGGTCACCCAACTTCGCGCGCCGCGCCCCGCGCTGCGCGACTATCTTCGCGACCTGGCGCCGACCCCGGTTTCCCAACCGAGGCCGCGGCGCCCCAGGAGCGCGACTATCTTCGCGTCCCTCTGGGCAACCTACGGTCGGACCTAGGACAGAAGAGCATCCTTCAAGAGCATGAGACCCTCCGCCATCCACGACACTCCAAGCCATAAGATCACTCCAGAGTGGCCACCCCCAGGATGCACAAGAACATCCTGCAAGCACGAAGAATTTCAAGGTACGCTCCTCGAAAGACACGCACGAGTTTGACAGGATGACCAATCCTGTGATACAATTGTGAACCGTTTCTATAGTAGTGGGGGCTGCAGCAGGCCAAGCGAGCTTCACCCGTGAGCACCAGCAGGTTCCTCGTGTGTTGATCGTAGTTGTTCTCTTGGTGGGTGTCTTGCCCGCTGTATCTACATGCACACGTGCGTACATGCTTATAGATATAATCATACATATATATACACACCATGTATGCAAGAGTGCGTACATATGCAATACAAACATGACTACATACATGCGCACATACACACATACATATCTACATGCATGTATGCACACATATATACATACGTACACACAAGCATACACATATGTCTGCATACCTACATACATAAACTACAGACACACATACACACATGCATCCAAGTGTACATACATACATATTTGCATACATACATGTATGTATACACCCATGACTAGACATACATACATACATGCATACATGCATACATGCATACATACATACATACATGCAAACACACATAAACACATCCATACATACACATACATACATGCATATACACATACATGTATGCACACATAACTACATACATACATGCATGCATGTATGCATGCCCACACATACATACATACATACATACATACATACATACATACATACATACATGCACACACATACATACATATGTACCTACATACATACATACATACATACATACAGACAGACAGACAGACAGACAGACAGACAGACAGACAGACAAACAGACAGACAGACAGACAGACAGACGGACAGATGTACATACATACACGCATGCATACATAAATACATGCATACCGACATACATACATACATGCATGCATGCATACATAAATGCGTGCATGCATTCATGCATTCATACATTAAACATACATGCATACATACGTACACACAGACATACATGCACCAATCGATGCATGCATGCATACATAGAAACATACATATACACCTATCTAGAGTCATTACGCAAATCAATTAGGATGCCCCCTTCCTCCTCCTTTTCCTCTCCTTTCCCAGCTGTCAACCCTCCCTCCCTCCGCGGCCCGGCCACTCCCAATTCAAGTTCCGTTTCCAGGATGGCTTCTTTTTGCTTACGGGTAGCACAACGAACTAAGTGTGAGGCTGACAAGAAGAGCTGCCACGGCCATTCCGCGCAGGCCGCTGACTGGGCCGTCCCTTCCCGGGCACGTTTTGCGCGTTCCATCGTTGCCCCATATCCTCTCATGAGGCAGGTCCAGTCCGCAACGTTTGTTTCAATTAGGCTACGGTCGGACCGAGACACAAGATCGAGGTCGCTTCGATCTCACAAGGTTGTGTCGGCAAAGGCTGAGTTCAACTAGCAGCGTTCGACTCTCATCGCAAGAGCTTGCTGGAACTGTGAAGATGCGGATTGGCAAGTGCTTCACGACTCTCTGAACAATACTTGCTGGAGTGATCTGTTTTCTGGATTTGGCCCAAATCAGGCCCCCAACAGATTTACCAAGACTGTTTCTGAGCAGGCCATGGAGCACATCCCAATGGCGCATAGAACTGTTCGTAAACTTCCCGTCCATGGTTGAACAAACGGTGCGAATATGTCATTGAAGATCGAATTCATAACTACGTCTGGCACTCCCGAGTAAGATCGCGCTGCCTAAACATGTTCGCAAGAGCTCCTGGAGGAACATGAAGAATGCGTGTACAGGGTGAGGCATAAAAATGTAGCGTTGGAGTAATCGTAACAACGGTAATCGACATTTTGCATGCCCTTGATGTTGCGAGCTGATCAGGTGTCTTCCATACCTCATCTTCTTGGTCCTGAGGGCGAATGGGCCACGACAGCGTCTGGCAAAGCCAGAGTATTTCGCGCGAGCTTCTCTTCGAAGCACGGTTTGCCGGAGCCCACTGCAAACGAGTGCTCGGCGATACCTGGCCCCCGGGGTCGAGGGATGCCCGGCTTCCTGCCGATGCGTGCCCGTTGGGTGACAGCCGCGCTCGAAGGGCTTCGGGAGAACGGCGGCACTGGCCCAGACGGGATGCCGGCGACGACCCTGAAGCGGTGCAGCGGCCCGCCGTCCGTCCCCTCGGGCGACGCTCGCCCGGCTCTCCTCGCCTGCTGTTTGGCCGTCTGGATGGCAGGTCCACTCGGTTGTCCCCACTGTCCACGCGCAGCGCCGAGTCCAAGACAGCGAACTACAGAGGGATGCATCTGACACCCAACGTCTCCGAAAAGTCGAGCGCATGATCGCCCGGTTCGTGCTGCCTTCGAGGTTACTGGCTCGCACGGTGAGAACCAGTTTGCGCATCACAGGCGCCGATGTTACAGGGACGCCCTCGCCTTTGAATGTCTTTCCGTGGATATGGGCACCTTGTGTGCCGGCCGGCGCGGTGCCCCCTATTGCTCGGACGTGTCTGCTGCTCCCGATCGCGTGAACGCCAGACGGTTGCTAGAACGTTACAAGCACGCGGGGTGTGCGAGGTCCCCTTCAGGGTCATCAGATTTTGGTTGGACGCCCGGGGTGGCCAAAGTCTGCGTGGATGGGACGTTTGCCGTGGACCTTGAGATTCACAACCAGATCTATCAAGGGACTATGCTTGCCCCGCCGCGTTCGAGTATCTATAATTCAAATGCCCGCAGGACAATCAATGCCGTCGGCTTCGTTGAGGACGTTTTCGCAGACTGCCTCAACTGTTGGCGAACATATCCTGGAGAACGTGGCAATGCTGGCATCAACCGCGATTATTCGGCGTGCCAAGCTCCACTACGCTCTTCGCAAGTGGGGGGCCGCTAACCGGGTCATCTTCGAGCCAAATCAGAGAATGTTCACATTCTGGACGCCCACGCCAGACGGCGACTCTTTCAAGCTGCTCGGGGTGCTCTTTGACACTAGGTTGTCTGTGTATAAGGCTGTGTCCCTCTTCGTTAGTGAGGGCGCTTGGAGGCTCCAGGCGCTACTTCGAACAAAGCGGTGTTACTCGACTGCAGAGTTGGTTCTTTCTACAAATGACACGTGCTATCGCACGTTGAGGGCGCCACTCCGGCTGCGTACCACGCTGCTGAAGGTACCCTTCGCCATCTCGGCGGACTGCAAGACACCTTCCTGTAAGGCGTGGGCTTGACACCAAAAGAAGCACTACTTCAACACAATTTGGGCCCACTGGTTATGCGGCGCGACATCGCCATTCTTGGTCTTCTCTACAAGGTGTCATGGGGGCAGGCGCCAGCGTCTTTGGCTTCTTTGTTTCAGCCTTTCAAAAATCATTCTCGCAGTTCATCCCGGACATCATCGAATGCTTCATCGATCTATCGATGGCTTGATTTCGGTCGTGAATCGTTTGCCTGGCGTGGTGGTGCGTTCCGGGTCAATGAACGTTCGCTTCAGCGCTTGGCAAAGGACGCTGCCGCTTCTGGCAACTCTGAGTGGCACAGACTTGTTTCGCCCACGATGACGCCACCGAGGGAATTCGTTCATCGTTCGAGTGTTTTAACATCGAAGGTTTGTCGTGGAACAAAGCCGCCCCGCCAGGAACCTGCAACGAAATTTCAATTTACACTAGGGACAGTAGGAACACCACCTTCACATTGCCACAACAAAAAGTTGAGAAGACACAATCATAAACATGTCCACGACACCAACGACGCATGCGAAACCAGTCGAACCAATCGTAGGTGACAATGGTCTAGCACAAGCAGCCCAATCTGCAATACACAGATGCCATCTACCTGATAGCGGTGAGTGTAACAGCGCATGTTATACTGTGGAGAAGCGTTTGCCTTACAGTGGGAGCTCAAACACAAGACACCTTCCACAAGAGAAACCCAACCCTGAGACCCCAGGACGTCCATTGATGTTTGGTGTGGGAACGCCACGCTTCCCAAGGGAGAACCATCGAAGCCCGAGAAACCCAGGACACCCTGGAGGCAAGCAGGGTGTCTCTTGGCAGGGGTCTCCACTCTCACCTGGCCTTGGACCAAAACCACACTTACCCAGCCAAGTCACTACGCCACGACCCGCGGGGCCCGCCCTTCGCCTGCACGCAGCGGTCTCCTCCTGCAGTCGAACTGCGCGCCAGCCGTGGTCCTCCACGGACGGCCGACGTCGCTGCATCGTCGCAAGCTTGATGCGGCGATGCCTCGCCAACGCCGCCAACCGCCAGGCTTGCACACGTACTTTGGATTTCGGCGCCCCTTCGGTTTTCGGCGCCTGCGGTTTTCGGCGCCCCTTTGGTTATCGGCGCTCTTTTCGTTTTCGGCGCCCTGCCCGTCTTCGGAACTTCTGTTGTTTTCGGCGCCCATTTCGCTTTCGGCGCCCTTTTGGGTATCGGCGCCGATTTGGTTTTTCGGCGCCGTTTTGGTTTCCGGCGCATCTTTATTTTTCGGCGCACCCTTTGGTACTTGGCGCATCGTTGGTTTTCGGCGCCCCTTGGGTTTTCGGCGCCCTCTTGGTTTTCGGCGCCCCTTTGGCTTTCGGTGTCCTTCTGGTTTTCGGCTCCATTTAGGTTTCCGGCGCATCTTTGATTTTCGGCGCCCCTTTTTGTGTTCGACGTTTTTTTTGTTTTTCCTTCTTTTGGTTTTCTGCTCATCTTGGTTTTCGGCGCCCCTTGGGTTTTCGTCTCCCGTTCAATTTCCGGCGCTCCTTTGGTTATCGGCGCGCTCGTGGTTTTCGGCGCCCCTTCGGTTTTCGGTGCTCTTTTGGCTTTCGACGCCCTTGTGGTTTTCGGCACCGTTTTGGTGTTCGGTGGTGAACGTGTTCTTCTTCGGCGCTTCGACATTGAGCGGAAGGGGGGGGGAGAGGGGGTCTGGCTCCGGACCTCGGCTAACTGCGACTGTCTGGAACAGTGCTCCCATGGGGAATCCTATGGGGAGCCGTGCACCTGCTTGAAACAGGCGCCAAAAACAACCAAGATCTACTCGATCGGGGGAAAGGGGTGGGAGGTGTGCGAGGGCCCGCGCCGATCGGCAAAACAATGATAAGAAAGAGATCACGTGCGCTTTCTGTGTTTGGCGACCTGTTGGTTGTCGGCGCCGTTTTGGTTTTCGGCGCCCCTTTGGTTTTCAGCGTCATTTGCAAGTTCGGCGACCCTTTGGTTTTCGGCGCCCTTTTGGGTTTCGGCGCTCTTTGGTTTTCGGCGCTCCTCTGGCTTTTGAGACTCTTTTGAAATTCGGCGCATCTTTGGTTTTTGGGGGCACGCTGGTTTTCGGAGCCTTTTTTGGTCTTCGGCGCCTGTTTGGTTTTCGGCGCTTTTTTGGCTTTCGGCTCCCTGTTGGTTGTCGGCGCCCTTTTGGCTCTCGGCGCCCCCTTTGGTTTTCGGCGTTCCTTTGGTTTCCGGCACATCGCTGGTTTTCGGCACCCTTCTGGTCTTCGGCGTACCTTCTGTTTTCTGCATCTTTTTGATTTTCGGCGATCCTTAGGTTTTCGGCGCGCCTCTGGTTTCACACCCTTTCGGTTTTCGGTGGCCCTTTGGTTTTCGGCGCTCTGTTGTTTTTCGGCGCTTCCTTTAGCCAAAGGGGGAGGGCTTCCTTAAGCCAAAAAGGGGGGAGGGGGGGGGCTTCCCGCAGGGGTGGGGGCGGGGGAGCTGAGCCCCCCCCCTTCGAAACGGGGTGAGGGGCGGGGTCGCTTCTGGAGCGTGAAAGGGGGAGGGGGGGGGTAGCTTCCGAAGGGCGACAAAAAAAACGGGGAGGGCGGGGAGGCTTCCAGCAGGGGGGGTTCGAGGAGGGGGGGGTAGCTGCGCGAGCAGGAGGGAGGGGAGGGGTCGCTTCCGAGGGGCTGAACCAAGGGGGGGGCTTCGTGCAGGGGAGGTACAAGGGGGGGAGTAGCTAAGGGGGGACCCCCCCTTTGGGAGGTGCGACAGGCGCGCTCTCTCATACAAATACAGAAAGGGAGAGGGGTAGAGAGAGGGAGGGAGAAAAAGAGAGAGAGAGAGAGAGAGACAGAGAGACAGGGAGAAGAGAAAGAGAGAGAGAGAGAGAGGGATAGACACAGAGAGCGAGAGAAAGAGAGAGATAGAGAGACAAATGGAGAGATGGGGGGGAGGAGAAAGCAAGTGGATGGGGGATGGAGTGCGGAAGGTACGGGCGGAGGATGAGGGAAGGCGGAACCGACCTTCGGACCTACGCCGCATCAGCAGCACTGAGGGAGAAGAGGGAGGGGGATGGGGACAAGGACGGAGGATGCGGGGGGGGGGAGGGTCACAAACCCTGCAAAATCCATGAGCCAACGGGGTCTGACAAGAGACTGCTCTTGCTGCAACGCCGTCGCTCCGCAAATAGCGAATCGTCCTGCGCGCCCAGCCCGTGTACGTCGCATGCCTGCCCTAATAATATCATTTCGACTCAGGCAGTGTGCACCAATCGGAAGCCACGGATATGGCACTGAAGAGAGAAAGAACAAGAGAACGAAAAGAGAGAGAGAGAGAGAGCGTGCGCGGAAGAGAGATGGAGAGAGAGAGAGAGCGCAACGGCATGCAAATACAAACCCTCAAATCGCCCCATGTCTGCACCAATGCCACCTTTCCCCTTGACCGCGGAAGCAGCCTCGTCCGGAGAGCGTCCAATGTAGGCGTAGCATGCCTTGAAAATGCACTAGAGAAGTGCTGGATATCACTAAGACACCTCTGAACAATTGCATACATCTATGTGCATACGCTGCCACGTGCGACGCAGAGTGCTTGCGTCCATGTATGCTGCGCCCCATGTTGCCCCGCCTCGTACTGCTCATCGTTTGATTGGGAATACATGTCTTGGGTAACTTCCAATATTTCATTCCCCAAGCTCCGCGGGAAATGCTCCTGCGCGCTAGCAGTTCAGTTCAGTTCAGTTCAGTAGGGGCCGTATCAGCCCAGAATACTTGCACGCTAAGCTGCTCTGCGCTCGCACACTGCGACGGAGCGACGCGTTGGCCACTCTTGCAGGTCAGTGCACGAAAAACGCACGCGTTCTGACATACCACGCTGTGAAGGGAGAAGGAGGAAGCAAAAAGAGCACCACTGGAATTACCCAATACAAAGAGCACTCATGCAGGTCAGTGCACGAAAAACGCACGCGTTCTGACATACTACGCTCTGAAGGGAGAAGGAGGAAGCAGAGGAGGGAGGGGGAAGAAGGCGGAGGCCGAGGAGGGGCAATCACAGATCACAATCAGCGAAGGCACTGTGCGCTAGCTACTCCAACAAATGTGTAATGATGTGCGAATGCAGATCGTGTCCACGGAACCTTCTGGCTACCTCATCAGAACCTGAGTGAAAACGTATTAACACATTATGGTTGCATCAACGCTTCGACAATACAATCGAGCTGTCCATGCACCGTCGTTCCACGTATACAACGGACCCTGACTGCATGGCAATCAAGAGCTGTATCGGTACATTCGCTGCAATGGCGAGCTGGTGAGACCTGGACGACGTAATGCTTATACTATGTGCTCGTACGCACACATAGTACCTACACCGTGCACATCCCGTGCCAACGATTTCAGTGCAGGTAGCTGCGTTGAGCTGGTAACAGGTCCCACACAGAAGCACGCCTCTGCGAAGGTCAAGAACAGCATGATGAGCTGTCCATGAAGACCTGTCGATGACGCTTCTCTCTCAGAGAAGAAGGTTTAGCGATGTACGTCGCCATGCAGGTACCCCACGAGCCCCCTCAGCATCATTGATTGAGCGGGTCACCCTTTCTAAAACCTTTCCGTCCCCTTTCGAGAAGAGCTCAACCAGGGCCCCTCTCACCCCATCCCCCTCCCTAGAGGTCTAACGAGCCCCCCCCCCTCGAGAAGTCAAAAGGTCTGGCTTGGCACAATAGTGATCAAGATGCTTCTGCGATGGCCTCGGACACCCTTACATTGCATCCGAGAACGCGCACTCTGGTCCAAACGGGCTTCAAACGGCCTTACGCATGAAGCCGAGCGAGAACGCAAAAAGCTTAGGTGTTGCACTTGCGCTAGCTTGCTCGCCCTCTTCGATTCGGAAGGGCCTCCGAGGCTCAAATGTGGTCCAAGGGCACAGACAATACCCAGAAGAGCCCCAATGCGCCCTCAATGCCCCCAGGGGAGTTTCGAGGGAGCCCCAAGAGAGCCCCCTGAGACGTGTTACAGGGCTCCCGGTAATCAAACACAAAAAGGAGGATACGAAGCAACTGCAGCAGGTGCAAGGGGAGACGTGTTTCGACGAGTGGGAGGGAGCGCGGAGGAGAAGCAGCGGCTGCAGGTGCAGGAGCAGGAACCAGGTGGTAGAGGGGGAGGCCGACAAGGAAGACCTTGGTGACCACCCTTTCCTGATCGACGGCCCCCTGCGTTGGACCAAGGGGGGGCACAAGGGGGGGCTCTCTCCCTCCCTCCCGTCGGATCGACCGGGAGGGGATACCATCGGTAAGCAATGGAATCAAGATTTAAAAAACAATTAGATCTAGATTTAATTTGTTTAAAATCTTGATTCCATTGATTTTCCCATCTCGTGGCCTCCTGGGGCCTCCAGGGCCCTCGCCTCCTGGAGCATCCTGGGACTCCCCGGGTGCTCGGGCCTCCTGGGACCTCCTGCGCTCCCGGGGCGCTCCTGGGGCCTCCTCTGGCGTCTCCCGGGGCCTCGTGGCGTTTCCTTGGGGCTGCTCTCGGACATCCTGGGATTTCCTGGGGCCTCCTAGGATTTTCTGGGATTTCCTGGGGCCTCCTGGCGCCCCCTGTGGTCTTCTGGTGCCTCCGGGGGCCTCCTGGGGCCTCCTGGTGTTTCCTGGGGCCGCCTCGGACATCCTGTGGCCTCGCGGGGGGTGGTCTCCTGGAGCATCCTAAGACCTCACGTGGCCTCCTGAGGCATCTGGGTCGTCTTGAAGCCTCCTGGCGCCAGCGGTTCCCTTGTGTTTTATCTCCTCCTCCTTCTCCTTCTCCTCCTCCTCCTCCTCCTCCTCCTCCTCCTCCTCTTCCTCCTCCGCCTCCTCCTCCTTTTCCCCTTTTCCCTCACCGAACCCTCTTCTTCCTCGTCCTCTCCCTCCTCGTCGTCGAACTCCTCCTCCTCCCCCTCGAGCGCGTCCGCTCTCCAACAACTTTCAATGCGGAAACCGGCGAAAACGAACACCTGAACACTTACTGTGGCAAAACATGTTTCGTTACGCCGTGCCGAAAGAGCGACAGAGCGGCTGGCGATCTCCATGCCGCGGCATCCAGGGTCCTCGCGGGGTTTGAGGGCCCCTGGAGCTTCTTGGGCCCTCGCGGAGTGGCCTCCTGAACCTTCCTGGTACATCGCGGGGTGGCCTCCTGGAGCCTCCTGGGGCCTCGCGGGGTGGCTTCCTGGGGACTCCCAAGGCCTCGCAGGATTAACGGTGATGCCCTCCTGGTGTCAGTGGGGGCTTCAAGTTTTTAGCGCATGTGCGAACAAATGGGTCATCAAGCGCACGCTTTTGTAGTGCGATGTTCAAGTGTGCGTGTGCGTGTGTGCGTCTGTGAATAACGTTCTGTGTGTGTGCTCCTGCACCTGTATATACCCACGCACTACAAACGCATGTGTGGATAACTTTATACGAATGTAAAATACGAGCTTGCATAGCCATATCTATATGTGTTTGAAAAAATACATACGAGTAACAACTCAATCTACAAACTACATGTTGAAGCACTAGTATGCGTGCCCAACACGGTTTGGTCCCTCGAGCCAATGGCCCCCCATTGCGACAGAAAAGGCAGCGGGGGGGACGGGTGGATCAACGGCAGGGGGGTCGCAACCCTGAGGACAGTTCCGATGAGATGGGAGGGGCGGTACGAAGATATTGCGAGCTCGCCCCAGTCCGCCGGCCACTTATCCAGCCTGGAAGCTCTGACCACAACCAACGCCACAGGCGCGCGATCAAGGTTCGACAACAAGGCTATGGTCAGTGGACAGCGCCGTGCGTCGCAACGCAACGAAGGCTCGCGGCCGTGGCCACGCGCTCGCCCCAGGCCTGGGCCAGACCTCCGGGGCAAGCGCGCAAATGCCAAAACGAAGTTACTTCGATAATCTACGTGGCGCCCTAGTGCCTTGACCTCTACTTGGTGGAGAGATCGAGCGCTGGCCGGTGGTCAGAGCCTGCGACGTTCGCGCGGACCGCTCGCAGGATCTCCTCCTGCGCCGCCGACGGTCCTCGACGGCGTCTGCGCCCTGCTGGCGCGCCCGGCGCCTCGCCTGAGAAAATCGCAGATTCCCGCGCGAGACTCCGCGGCCACGACGCCTGGTCGAACGCTGCGACCGCGGGCGTTGCCCCTGTCTAAAAAACGCACTGCCGAATTCGCACGGCGGCGCGCGCGCCGAGAGCCGTGCAAACAGCATCCGCTCGCACGTCGACCACAAGTTGAGCTCCGCGGCCAACGCCCTCTTGTCCACGCGCACGACCTGCCAGTAGTAGCTGTTCAGCATCACGTGCACCTGCTCTATCCGCGTGGCCCCCGCTCCACATACCTGGTTCTGCGCCTTAATGAGCCGACTCCTGGAACGAACGTTGTCCACGTAGAACTCGGCTCCCCCCAGCTGGCGCGCCGCCGCGAACTGCGCGCGCAGCGCCTCCTTGTCTTGCTTCGCGTCCACCCTCTGAGGGCACGCGCGGACGACTGATGCAAGTGGCCTCGCCAACTCTTCCCTCGACGACATGCCGGCGTTCGGGCCCGAGTTCTCCGGCGCATTCATGGCCGCGCAGAGGCCCAAGTCGCCCCCCCCCCCCCCCCCGAATGCGATCGCCGAACTTCTTCTCCAGAGCCGTGGCGGCCAGCGCCTGGCCGCCGCAGAAGCGGGGCTCGCGGCGGCGGGGCGCGTCTGGCGCGCTGGACTTGCCCATCGCAGCGCGCGAGATCAAGCCCGCGGCCGTCGGCCGCGCGCGGCGCTTCGGCGCGCGGGCGCCCACCGCGAATGCCCAGTGCCAGGGGCCCTGCGAGACGCCCTCCACGTTCGGGGCGACGCCGGCGAACTCATAGAACATCTTCCCCCCGACGACGTCGTTCGCCACGCGCCGGACTAAGCCTCGCGACTCGGCCAGGATAGCGGCCGCGACAGCGTCGCGGAATGCCTCTGACCGCGCGGCGCAAGACGGGCGCATGCCGAGCGGCTCGCCGCGGAATCCCAACGCGCTGATCAAGTCGCGGCGGCCGAAGCGTCTGCCCCGGGGCCTCGAGCGACAGCTTGCGCGCGGCGTCGACGGAGATGGATCTCAGGTCGCCAAGGTCTGCGCCCTTCCTGAGATGCGACGCGCCGAAGTCGCGGGCGGCGTCGGACTCGGCGACGTCGAGCACCAGCGCGGCCACGGTGCCGGCGAGCCGCATGGCGAGGCCCCCGGCCTGGCATCCGCCGCGCGCGCAGTGCGACCAAAGCACGCGCGGCGCGCGACTGTTCACGCCGCCCGCCTCGAAGTGGAAGCCAGCGAAGGCGTTGCCGAACTCCTGCGCGCAGTAAGTGGCCGCTGAATTTCCGGGCGCGCGCAAGCGGGTCGTCTCCCCGCCGCCGGCGCTCGGGCCCAATCTCTGTCAGCACGAACACAGGGTCAGAGTCCCGCTTCTTTCCAGTCGCTGCGCGCACGGATTCGTCGCTGCCCGGCGTCGCAGCAGAACCAATCCACTCAGCGAGGAGACCCTGCGCGCGGGACAAGCAACTGCCCGGCGCCCTGCCGCCGACCGCGTCGTCGTCGCACGGCGCCCGCTCCGCTGCCGCGAAAACTGGATGCGCGACGTCTGGTGAACGCAGGCGAGCTCGCCGTCCGCGCGGCTCGTCGCGCGCGCCTCGGCCCAACGGCGGTCGCTCGGGCACTGGCCGCAGAGCGGGCGCTCGAGCGACGCGTCTTTCTTCTCGAGCGCGCCCAGTCGCTCCCGCGCGCATCCTCGCGTGGGCCACGACGCTGGCGCGCCGCAACGTCTTCGCAGCCAGCCCGCGCGCGTGCGCCGCGGCAGCCGGCCGCCGCGTCTCGGAAAAGGCCCCTTCAGCGCCCCCCGGCCCGCGGCGCCGCCGCCGCGGGAAGCCTCGCCGCGCGCCGCGCCCCCGCGGCCATGGCGCGCGGCGGCGGGCACCCGCGGCAGCGGTCGCCCGAACTCCCCCGGAGCCACGGCGAACTACTGGGTGGCGACGGCGACCCGTCAGCCGGGGGGGGGCGAAACGCACGCCGATGACACGACTCCCCTGACCTCTCCCGGCGCGCGTTCCGACTAGGAATCCGACGCGAATCCAGCCGCGGCGGCCAGGGCGCTCGGGGCGAGCAGCAGCGGCGTCGGTATATTTTCCCTCGCTGGTCGACACTCACTTGCACCTCGCTCGAATGGCGCGTTCTGAAGCTCCACCGTGCCCAGCCCGACTGTTGTCGCAGAGGCGGCGGTTTGTTCTCAATGAGCACCCGTCGCTCTAACTGCAGTCCACCCTCTGCGTTAGGCGCCCTCTCCCGCGGCCGGGCCCCCGCTAGCTGCCGCCGCCGACCTCGCTCCAGCGTGAGCGCCGCCATGCGCTCAGCCAGCTCCTCCGGCTCGTCGTCGTCGGTGTCGTCCGCCAGAACGACGCCCGCATCCCAGAATTGCATGATCGACGTCCAGGCCAGAGAGTGCTTGCTCATGGCCTCCGCCAGCCTCGCCCACAGGGCCCGCGAGTCCTCAGCGAGGCGCGCCATGGCCCCGCGTCGCGCACGCTTTTGAACTCCACGCTGACCTGGTCGTGGCGGGCGAGCGGGCGCGCGTAGAAGCCGCGGTCGTTGACCAGGTTGTCGCGCAACCACTGCCCGACGTGATGCGTCAGCGCCTGGGGTGCGAGCGCCACCCGCGCGCTGGCATATAACTTTTACCACGCTCATCTAGCCATGCAGAAATGAATACATATATGTATAATATACATAAAAACAACAATCGAGACTCGCATACTATATATAATGATAATATAACAGAATATGATATATAAACATGCACAAACATATGCGTGTGAATATGCGCACACGGTCGCGCAGCGGGATGTTCCATGGGGCTCGAGAGATCCCCACATCACCTGAGCTTCCAAGACATCGGTACATCGGCGTCGCTGAGCCCAAAGAGGTCCAGTTTGGCTCAGCATGGTCCAGACAACCAACAAAATAAATGTGTTAAACTTGTTGTTTGGCAAACTTTAAACAATATGATATGGCCGGACATTTGAACAATAAATGGGACCCCCAGGGGACGAGGGTTCCGCAGTCCAGGCGGCCATGAATCCAGAAACCACCAAACCCCCCAACAACTGAAATTCTTAAAGATTTGAAGTAACAACTTGCAACAAAAACTGAAAAAAAACAGAAACACATCAAACATGCCAATTGTTTGACGTTCCCAGGGGCCGAGGGATCCGCAGCCCAGGCCGACCAGGAATCTAGAAACCACCAGACCACAACATACTTTTTGGAAAAGAAACAAGTTTGTTTATTTGAAAAAAGCAGGGGGCCGAAAAAATGTACAGATTTTCTAATACATCAAAATAGTTACAATTCCCAGGGACCGAAGGATCCGCAGCCCAGGCGGCCAGGAATCCAGAAACCACCAGGCCACGAACCGAAACACTTTTGATCAAGAAGTGCGTCCTTGCGCGTTTTAGCCGCCTCGGGAGAGGCACACGGGCTCTCGGGAAGCTCGAGCGCCCTCGAGAGCAAGGCCTGCGGTACTTGCTAAGTCCAGGGAGGCCCCAGAGGGTGGACGCGAGTCGGAGCAGCGGGGACGAGGATGAGGAGGAGAAGAAAGAGTTCAAGCCTCCAAGATGGCATCCCCTCCTGGTCGACCGTTCCCCTCCCTCCCTCCCTCCCCCTCCCCCTCCCCTGCTCCTCCTCCTCCTCCTCCTCCTCCTCCTCCTCCTCCTCCTCCTCCTCCTCCTCCTCCTCCTCCTCCTCCCTCCACCATTATACCATAACGAAGACGACATCGTGATAGGATTGGCTCAGAAGACGTTCCAGGAATTCCCGAGCATCCAACGGCCCTCGTGTCCGCAGCCCGTGTGAGACATCAGGACATGTGGCAAATCTTGGGACGTATCATTGTCATAGCCTCCTCCCTCCATCCCTCTTTACGTACATCCCTCCTCTGCGAGGCTGCAAGAGAGAGAGAGAGAGAGAGATACACATCCACCGCCTGGGGATCCCGAGGTCCTGGGACCCCAACGGGCGGTAGAGATGGATCTATTGTGGCCCCACGGGGTGCCGAAAATATCCATATCCACCGCCTGCCGAGGTTTGAGCAGGGACCGACCGTCCCGGCATTCCTATAGGCCTACCACGAAATGTTCTTATAATCCCAAAAATGTTCGAAGAACCAGACAATTTTTCTCTAGAACATAAACCAGACGTATTAGAACAAGACAGTCTTAGTCGGAAGTTGTCTAATAACATGTCGTAGAAGCCACGAAAGGCTCTGAAACAATTGTTTGGTGGGCCTGTAAGCACGCCAGGACGCTTCGCTACTGCTTGACGAGGTCTCATAAGATCGATCCCTCGGGTGGTGGTTCCTGGGGTAACCAAACAACCGATACCGCCACTCCCCGGACCTCTCCCAGGGTGCGCTCCGACCAGGATCTCGAGGCGAATCCAGCGGCGGCAACAAGGGCCTCCAGGGAGGCCCCAGAAAAGGAAAACGAGACGAGGGTAGCGGTATGGGTACGGCAGCTTCGTGTCGTGACGGCCCCAGCGTTGGTTGCTGAGACCGCGTGCATCGCCCAACCTTGAACGATCGGCGGCGTTTCGATCGCCCGATCGTTCCATATAGGCCGAATCTGGGCCACTGGCAGCGTTCAAGCTTACACGCCCGCGCTGGGGTCGTCGCCGCGTCGAGACGACACGAACCTGCCGTACCGTCTCCCCCCCCTCGGAGAAAAACCGTGTGTAGATCCCCGCCTCGGAGATCTTCCTCACCCCGGAGCGGCGGGGTGGGCGGCAGACGGCGGCGCACCTCTCACCAGCTGCAGGCAGGCCTGCCGGTCGGAGCCTCGGCGCGCGGCGGCGCGGCTAGGAGGGGTCTCTGAGGATGACGATGACGACGATGATGACGATGACGATGACGATGCTGTCATCGTCATCGTCGTCATCATCATCGTCATCGTGATCATTGTCCTCGTCATCGTGATCGCAACGTCATCATGATCGCCATCGCCATCAGTATCATCGTCATCGTCATGATCATCATATCATCGTCATCGTCGTCACCATCATCGTCATCGTCATCGTCACGCAACGACATCAACATCATCATCACCACCACCACCGCCACCACCACCACCACCATCATGATCATGATCATGATCATGATCATGATCATGATCATCATCATCATTATCATCATCATCATCATCATCATCATCATCATCATCATCATCATCATCATCTTCATCCACACCAACACCAACATCAACATCAACATCAACATCAACATCATCATCAACAGCATCATCATCATCACCATCACCATCACCATCATCATCATCATCATCATCATCATCATCAGCAGCAGCATCATCATCATCATCATCATCATCATCATCATCATCATCTTCATCAGCATCATCATCATCATCGTCATCATGTTCATCAACATCATCGTCCTCGTCCTCGTCATCGCCATCGTCATCGCCATCGCCATCGCCATCATCGTCATCGTCATCGCTGAGAGAACGCAAACTGCTGGCCATCGCTCGGGCGTCCATTCCCCGTGCATTGTTCGTTGTCGTGCGATATTTGTTTTACTGCCCGAGGATCCGGGATGCGTCTCGCTGGTCCTCGCCGAGGAGAATATGCACACGCCCGAGCGATGCCGAGCAGTGGGGGGCTGGCTCAGGGGGTGGAGCAGGGACCTGGGATCGGCGATACGGTGGAGGCCCGCCCACAAGAAACCTTCCACAAGAAACCCCACCCTGAGACCCCAGGAGGTCCATGGATTTTTGGTGTGGGAACGACACGCTTTCCATGGCCAAAGCGTCGGAACCCAAGAAACCCAGGGCACCCTGGAGGCAAGCAGGGTGTGTCTTGCTTTTTTCTCCACTGCAAGCGCAGACGTGGACGCCGCCCAAAGCTGCAGTGGGCGGCGTGCGTTTTCCCATGCGCATCCTGGTGATGTCTGCACTTTATGTGTAGTTATGTAGTGCCTGTGCGCCGTTTGGGCGCCTGGCTGCCTTGCTTGCTTGCACGTCGCCGAGAGATCGGCAGTGGGCCCCCGAGGGGGCGATGGGGGAGCCCCCCGCTCCTGGGCAGGCTGGGGCACCTGGGCCCGAATCGGCGAGGAAAGGGCGATCGGGGGGACGATGCCCCCCTCGTGATAGATTGAGAGGGCAGAGCATCGCCCCCCATAGGGATCACCCCGACACGCGAAGCCGTTTTTATCAAACGAATCCAGAGAAGGAATCGAACAAGGCAGAGCTGCTTAGCAAACGCCCAGGGCCGTTTAGTAAACGCCAATTGTCAGGTCCGGGTGGTCTTCCTTCCTCCCTTGAAATATGTTGCACTATACGAATACTACTCCGACTCTGTCCGGAAGATCTCCTGCCCCCCTCCACGAATTAGTTCTCACACGCAGGAGTAGGAATATGTTTACGCGTGTTTCTGCCATTCGATCGTTTTCGTTGTTTCATATGGTGCTTCCGCTGCAGCGTGGTCCTCATTATATCAGATCGGTGCTTTGCTCCCGTCGTTCAGTCGCTCCAGCGCGGGCCACTTTTCTGGGTTCGAATCCTTTTTCATCACTGTTGCTCCCCTCATTTCCCCTCCTCCGCCTTCTCCTGGTCCTCCTGCTCCTCACACACCTTCCACTCCAGTTTCTGCTTCTTCTGTTCGCCCTTGTCCTTATCCTTTCTCATCCTCCCCCTTTTCCTCCTGCTCGTTCTTCTGCTCACCCCCTTGCCCTGCTTGGGCGCTGTGTGCCGTATCCTGGTACATGGCCTTTCCCCACATGTTCGTGGCACACTGTCAAGGAGCCTTTTGGATGCTTGAAGGGAGAGGTGCAACCAGCTCTTTGTCTTGTTCGACACCAGCAATTTAGCGTCTTTCGACTTGCTGCTTATGGCGTTAGCTGCACATGGATTTAGGACCAGGCACGGGGATTACGCATTTGATTGAGAGGCGGGGCCACGTGGTCCGTAAATCCCATGGCGCATTGTGCCCACTCACCCTGGGAACAAACCCTGTTGCGAATGCTAGTCGACTCAGCAAGGTTCGCCGTGGATTGGGGCCCAGCCCAGCACCCCTACGCACCACGCCGTCTCGTCTGGGCAGCAAGTCATCGGCGACGAGGTCACCTCACTGTTTCTTGACAAGCTTGTTTGATTTGGTGTATGCCACGTGTGTGGCTTTCCCATGCTCCACATGCTCATCCTGCTCACCCGCCACCTCCGTCTCCTCCTATTCCTCCTCCTCCTACTCATCCTATGGACTCAGTTCCCCTTTTCACATTGTGCATATCGTGATCGGCTCTTGGTTGGAGTTCCAGCTCGGCTATGGCACGCGCCCGAGGATAGCGAACACATGGGCGCAACTGGGAAGGGCTGGCAGGGAGGGATAGGATGTCAGAAGAGAAGGCGCGAGCGAACCTAGCTTGGTCCCCCTCCCCTCTCTCGGTGCCTCTGAACTGCCGCTGCTCCTATCGGCTGCGCGCAGGGAGTGAATCCCAGGCAAGGGGCTCGCGCACGCGGCGCAGGCCAACGGGAGGTCAGGCCCACTTTGATACCCGCCAAGTGGACGTTTTCTGATTCGGCGTTTCGACATCGGGCGGAACGGTGGGGGGAGGGGGGTCTGGCTCTGGACCTCTGCTGAATACAACTGTTTGCAACAGTGCGTCCTAAGGGGGAGACTCCACCTGCCTGAAACCTGCGCCAGAAACAGCCAAGATCTACTCCATAGGGGGGGGAAGGAGTGCGAGGGCCCGCGCCGATCGGCTGAACAATGAGTAAGAAAACGGTCACCAAATGATGCTTTCCGCGTGTCCGACGCGCGCGGGCCCTCATCCACCGACACGTCTTGTCCTCCATGCTCCCTCTGTTCTCCACTCCTCCTCGCTCTTCCCCGTCACCCCTCTTCCTCTTCCTTCCACCTACTGCTGCTCCTGCCTGGTCCTCGTTGTTGTCCTCCTCTTCCTGCTCCTCCCTCCTCCATCGTTCCTCCTATTCGTGCCGCCTGATTCCTCTCGTTTCCACGCTCCTCACCTGCTACTGATCATCATCCTTCCTTCCTTCTCCTCCTCCTCCTCCTCCTCCTCCTCCTCCCGCCCGCTCCCCCTCTCCCAAAGTCCCCCTCTCCCGCCATCCCTCCCTTCTCCGTCCCTTCATTCCTCCTCGCTTCGTCCTGCCCGCGTCCGCGTCCTCATCCTGCTCCTCCGTGCTGTCTTCCTTCTACCCCTCCTCCTCCTCCTCCTCCTCTTCCTCCTCCTCTTCAGCCCCGTGTCCTTATACATATCTCCTCACTGTCGCACCCGCGGGCGTGTCAGAAGCGCGGGCCACGTTTCGCTTGAGACATTATCACGCGGATGATCCTGAAGCTGGAAATGAGAAATGACTTCAAGGATGGAGGGCGGGCAATTGTCCAAATGAATATGTATGTATATACATATATATACATATGTGTGTATGCATGTATTTATATATATATATATATATACATAGCCTCAGCGCCGCGCACACTCTTCGTGATGCAAGTTTGCAGAAAATTCGCGGATGGAGGGGGGGGGGGTCAAAAAGGTGGCATTCGCCTTAGTGTCGCAACCGCGTTGAGGGTGGAGGTGGGGGGGCAGAATTCGAAAGGTGGCTCTCGCCTCAGCGCGCCGCACCTTCGCCTCACAGGTTTGCAGCAGCGTCAGGGGTGAAGGACGGGAGAGGGGGGACACTGCTCGAAATGTGGCCCTCGCCTCAACGCCGCGCACGTTCGCCCCACAAGTTTGCAACTGCTTCAGGAACGGGGGAGGGCAGTGTTCGAAATGTGGTTCTCGTATGAGCGCCGCGGTCATTCGTCTTGAATGCTGACAACACGCTCACGGATGGAAACGCGGGCCTCTTTCGAAACGGAACGCGCGCCTTCGCGTCGCACAGCGTCGTGTTGACGCGTTGCAGTAGCTTCACGGATGGAGGGAAATTCCGTTTCAAGCGCGGTGGTTTCGCCTTCGCGCCGCGAAACTTCGTCTCAAATTCTTGCTACAGCTTCATATATTCAACACTGGTCGCTTTCAACAGGAGGCTCTCGCTTCAACGCCGCACTCATTCGTTTAGGAAGACTATTATTTCCAAGGCCGCGCTAACGACGTGGTTGGTTGACGGTGCGGTTAGGGGATCTGTTTTCGTAACACCGAGCGAACGCAAAACAGAAGATAGGAACACCGCTTCCTACATGTCAGATGTTCGAGTGTATCGAGCAAAAACGACACAGCGAGTTGTAGGACAACACGAACAACGCGTTCCTACAAGTGGCTTGGCCACGAACCATGCGTTCCTACAATTGGTTGTCCTACATCGCCGTTCGCAAAAACACAGTTAGCGCGTCTGCGGTATTTTTCAGGATGGGAGTGTCGCGTCAGACTCCGTTACTTTTACTGCCCGGCTCTTCAACAGATGTAAACCTGACCTTTTGCAAAATGGGGCTGTCGCCTGAGAGTTCCTCGAAGCTCATGGCCACACGTGTCACATTGTGCAGCAGTCACACGGATGAGCAGGGTGCTCCATCTTCGAGGGTAGCTGGACACTTCGTTGAACTGTATCGTTATGGTGTCGCGTTTTCGCGTTCTCCATGGCGCGCTAGAAATATGCAAGGCAATGGCTACCTACCAGACCACCCCAACCCAACCCGAAGACCCAAATTTCGGGTTGGGGGGGGTATGGGTTCCATACGTGTTTTTTCGATGTTCCCCGACCCCCCCCCACTGGAAATGGAGGGCAAATGGAGGCCTTCGGGTTGGGTTGGGGTGGTTTGGTAGGTGGTGAGGCAGTGCCTTTTTCAAAGCGGGGCCCTCGCAACAGTGGCAGAGCCGTCCCAACGTGGTGACCTTTCGAGCGGGGGGGGGTGCTTCTCTCGTGGACAGGAAAAGACAACCTGTAGGGCGCCCGGGGAGGGGGCTTGGGACAGGAATATATGTACTGCAGCCTCGCCAAAACATCTTTAGTCTACGTTCTCCTCCTCCTTCTCCTCATCCTCCTCATCATCACCATTATAATTATAAGCCTCCTCCTTCTCCTCCTCCTTCTCCTCCTCATCCTCCTCCTCCTCATCATCATCATCACCATTATAAATATTTTCTTCCCTATCCGCGACGCGCGCGTGGGGGTGGCGCGAAACTTCTAAAACAGTGGCCTCCGCTGAAACCCTCCCAACTTCTGAGAAGCCGTGTTAGAAGCCTCCAAGCTCTTCTAAGACGGCGCCCGACTTCCGAGAAGCACACCGCATTCTCAGACCCCCCCATCGGGTCATCCCCTTGTGCGCGCAACCAACAACCTGCACCCTGCTGCTGCTGCTGCTCCTCCTGCCCCCCCTCCCCCTGTCCCCATCCCATTTTCCTCCCCATGCTTCCACTTCTCCTCCTGCCCTTGTTTCTCCCTCCTCCTCCTCCTCCTCCTCCTCCTCCTCCTGGCCAGAAGGTAGGAGTCCGTAAGAAGAGACAAAATGTGGTAGGGGGTGAGAGGGGAGGGGGGTTTGAAGGAGAGGGAGGAGGCAAAGGGAGCAGCGAACAAGACGGGGGAGGTTATTGGGAGGAGGTGGAGTGTAGAGGGATGAAGAAAAACGAGGTGCGGACAAGACGGGGGAGGTAACGGCGCGGGGAAGGCTGGGAGAAGGGAGGGGATCGGGCAGTGGAACGGCGGAGGATGAGGGGCTGGGGCGCGTAGGAAGCTGGCCGAGAGAGGCTTTCTACCGACTGCATCCATCCATCTGACTTCAGTGGAACAGCAACGTTGTTGATACGCCTCGCACCATGGGCAGGAAACGTGGAAGAAAAGTGCACAGACCCCCTGAACCCACAATAATTTCTAGGCCGCAAAACACAATCACCATCCATGTTTGCGCTCACACCCACTGCGCAATCAACCACGGCACTGGTGCAAGAGAAAAAAACGCAGCAAAAGAACCGAGCAAACTGAGCAACGGCTGACAATCCGAAAGTGCCGTGAAGCCGTTCATTATCATGGACTGCTCTGTTTTCGCAATCTCCTCCAGCAGTGGAGACAGCGATTGGATGAGTTGAAAGGGAACGAAAAACGGGGGTCCAAGGGAACACGCGATACCGCTGCGCCGAGAAAAGGGGCATAGTGTAATAAACACAGTGGTGACACCACTGGTAATGTCTCGTAGCAGCAGTCGCTATCACCGAAACTCCAACGTCAATGCGGCGAGTGGCGAAGAACGTCCACAAGATAAACCACCGCCTGGTGCTACTGGTTTGGCCCATCGAGCAAGCTTCCGTTGGGCACCAAACCAGCTTATGGAAAACAACGCCACGCATAGAAATCCACTCATGTCCTAGCCTCTTCCCAACTGTAGGCTCTCTGAGCGGTGCCGGCACCGCAGGGCCAACGAGCAGCAATCGCAAGGCCCAGTGTCCGACGCTTCTTTTCGCGACGGCCATCCCGACATTCCCCAGACCCTCTCCTCCGACGCTGCAGTCTGTCTGTGACGTGGGCACCCAAGAACATCGGCCCCTTGCCCAGGGCCAATTTTCTGCCACGAGCCGTTTCTCTTACGGCTCTTGGGCTGGGATGCATCGGCGACACATCGGCGACGTATCGGCGACGTATCGGCGACGTCGGCGTGCAGGAAATCACGCCGTCCCGGGCATCCGCAGCGGATCGCGCGCGGGCGAAGCCTGGCCATCCTGAGAAAAAGTGGCATCACCCAGCGACGTACCCAACGCCTCTGCATGAAATGAAAAGAGGAGGAGCTGAAACCTAATGTTTTTCAATGCTTCCCATCCGAAAACCCATTCGGGACCTTAACTTCGTTGATTTTTTTGCCTGGGTGCTTTGATTTTCCAGTTTTTCCTTTGGTTCTGACTGATGATCCAAAATCGTTCGGCAGATGACAACACAAAAATACGTCGTTGGTTGTGCAAGCTTCCAGGGAGGCGCGCGCGTCGCGCGTCTCACAGGACAGCAAACAACGACGACTGAGGCCCAAGGCTCTCGTCCTCCTCGTCCTCCTCCTCCTCCTCCTCGTCCTCCTCCTCCTCCTCCTCCTCCTCCTCCTCCCGCCTCCCCCCTCTCCACCTCCTCCTCCTCCTCCTCCTCCTCCTCCTCCTCGTCCTCCTCCTCCTCCTCCTCCTCCTCCTCCTCCTCCTCCTCCCCCGCCTCCCCCCTCTCCACCTCCTCCTCCTCCTCCTCCTCCTCCTCCTCCTCCTCCTCCTCCTCGGACAGGAAGTGGGTTTGGAGACGACGGGCAGGACACGGACAGAGGAGGGGCCGAGCAGTTACAGCGCGGCAGCAGCAGTGAGACGGCGAAGCAGGAAGAGGACGACATCAATGGAAGAGCAGGATGAGGAAAGAGGGCGGCGGTCATGCTGCGGTTGTCACGGCGGACAGGCAGCGCGGCCCGCACCCTGTCGCTATGTTGCTCCAAGGGACCCGTTGTCCATAGTTACTGCGAGAAACGATCGAGACCGACCTCGCTCACCAACTTCTCCGCTTCCGTCCTGCATATTGGCAGCGCAGGAACTACACGCCCAGAAGCGCGCCGCTAGGTCTTCGGGGCCCGCGGGACATCACTCCGCTGGACTCCCCGGCAGCCCTCGAAAGCAGTGACGGGTTCGCAGATCGCAACCCTCCAGGGATGGCGCCAGGTCCAGTTTAGGTCTGCGTGGGGCGTCACTCCGCTGGACTGCCCAGCAGCCCTCGAGAGTGGCGACGGTTTCGCAGATCGCAGCCCCTCAGGGATGGCGAAGAGGCAGGGTCCCAGGCAAACAGGAGGCATGGCAGAACTCGGCTAGGAGGCAGGGTAGCAGGCAGGCAATTCCGAGGGGGAAGAGGGGAGGAGGGAGGCGGGAGGAGAAGGGAGGCGGGCGACCGCAGTTCTCTGTTCAAAACGAGAACCCAACGCAAGAGGCTGGGGAACAACAACTAAGCCAGCCGTTACAGTCTGGAGATCCGCGCGGATTTCTTGGGCCGGCTCTGACCCCCCATCCCACACCCCGTTTTACCATGAATGTAAGAGAGACCCCGAGGGAGACGGGACTGGATCCAGAGGGTCTCCCTGGGACAAGCTTTTCGTCCTGAGTCAGGCTGATGACGCTCCTGGGTCCTGTGCAGTAGGAGCAAGGAATGGCGACACAAACACCACCAGGGCGAGGAGATGCGAGGAGCAAGGAGGCTCTCCCTGGTGGTGTGGTCCCTCCCTCTCGCTCGAGACACCCCAAACCTCCAGCTCGGGGAGGCATCGTGGACCTCCTCGCTGGAGGTGACCCCCCTGGTGGTGTTGGGGGGTCGCCTCTCCCCCCTCCGATGCAGGGCCCTGGGGGGCCCGAAAACAGGGAGCACCCTATACTCAGGCCCCGCTTCCCTTGGGCCATTCCTTCCTTCCCCGGCGCGCTCCGCACGCTGGGGCATGCGGCAGAGGCGCCGGCCACGGGGTGCGGGGAGGTGGGGTCCAGAGCGCCGACCCAACAGCGCAGGCGCGCGGGGCAGCCTTAGGCGACGAGCCCAGGGGGGAAATGAGAAGGAGAAGGCCTTCTCAGAAGGCCGCGGGACTTAGAAGTCCGGGGGGCTTCTGAGACGTTTCCTTGGCCTATTTCGAATACAGACAGAACTTCTGAGAAGCCCTCTCAGAAGTCCAGAAACTTCTCAGAAGCCTCGGAAGTCCCGCCCCTTCTCATTTCCCCCCCGCGCCCGCCGCCGAAGCCTGGCCGACCCACACCACGGAGCAGGAGAGTACGGCACCGTGAGAGATCACGACGGGGGCCCCCCGGGGATCTTTCGGCGGCAGGCTCGGGCCAGATCGGTGCGTGAGGCCCCCCTGTGGGGCCCGAAGCGCCCGGCGACGAGGGCGCGACGCCCGGGCCGCAGGGAAGCCATGACGGCTATATCATCGCTTGGCACGGCGGGGTCCCTGGCACGGGTCCTGGGCCTCCACGGCTTCCCCCGCGGACCAACTTTCCATCCAGAGCAGTTTCTGACACGCAAAAGACCGATCGGACGTCCGAAGGCGTCACGCCCCACTAGTGGGGACGGCGTTTTTGTTTGTTGATTTGTCTTTCTCATTTTTGATATATATATATATATACACTTATATGTATATGAATAAACGGCCAGCCATGACGAGCAGCGCTGGCGGCGAAAGTGAAACAAGTAATGCAGTATTAACAGACGTGCTTGGGGGAGGGGAGGGGATGGGAGGAGGGAAGGAGGGGGAGGTCCAGAGAACACCTCCAGGCCCCCTTTCTCTCAGGACCCCCACTTTTTCATGCTGAATCACAGGTCAGCTGCACGCAAGAGTGAACCCAATCCCAAGCAGCAGTGACCTTTGGAGCGCGGCTTGAGGGGGCCGCGCGGGTGGGGGGGTGGGTGTGTGTGTGTGGGGGGGGGGAGGGGGCAAACCCACAACGCTGGGGGTGACCCCAAGTGGGCTCGCGCCAAGGGCCACTCTGGCGAAGGGCCGCGCAGCCGAATCGTGTCCTCGGGGACGCTCCGATCCAGGTCAGCCTAGAACCAGGTCAGCCAGGGCCATTTCACGAATCCCCGCAAGCAGAGAAAGGAGACGGGGGGTCGGCTCCGCATGGCTCCCAAACACTTCTTTCGTCGGAGGCGAGGCAGGCGGGTCGCTCCAGCGTGTGGCAATTCGGGGCAACCGAATAGCTAAGTGGCCGGCATACAAGAGAGGGACAAGGCGATGAGTCCCAAACACGGAGTCGGCCAAGGAATTGGCTGACCCCAGCTGGCGGTGACCCCGCTCCCAGACAGCCACCGTCTCGATTTTCCTGGGACGTGCCCCTCCAAACCTCTCGGTCACTGCCCCAGGGCCAGCTTCTCATCCGAGGCAATGTTTTGACGGCCTGGGGCCAGAAACTGGCCTCCGAAGGCCCACAATCGAAAAGCAGCTCGCCGCTGGACGGCCGCCCACAGGCGGATGGGGGGACGGAGCAGGAGGATCATGAGAAGGAGCAGGAAGGAGAGGATGACCGACGACGACGACGACGACGACGACGACGACGACGACGACGACGACGTCGACGCCTCTGGCGGCGCCAGATCCGTGACGTGCGCGCCGCCGCGCGCAGACTCGAGCGCACGCTGGCGCACGGAGCACGGCACGGATCCCCGGATCCAGGCGGCATGCCGGAGAAGAGGGGGCCCAGCGCCGGGGAGCGGCGCGGCGGGCACCTCGCCCTCGCTCGCACGCCTCACTCCTCGGTGGCCCTCGCCGAGAAGAAGAACGGCACGATTCCGAGAGCGATGCCAAGGCACAGGGCATGTGCGCGTCCCTGCCCCCCTTCCCCCCCGATCTCGGGGACCTACTGGCCTGGGTCGATCCAGACCTGGGTCAGTCGGGCCTTGCAGGATCCTGCAGGGTCCTGCGGGATCCTGCACCCAGGTCTGGGATCCGTGCGCCCCTGGCTCTACAGGATCCTGCAAGATCCGGCGCTCTGAAGAAACCCCCGTTTGCATTGCCCACCGTCTCTTGAGCCCCGATCCTCCAGCACGTCGTCGACGCCGGCGTTCTTCGACTCCTGGTGCCGCGGGCGCGCAAGGGCACTTTTTGTGCGGGCGTGATGGTGGCAGGCGCGGCGGCGAAGAGGGACGGAGGGGGGAGGGAAGGGACAGAGGGGGAGAGCGAGGAGGGAGACGGAGGGAGGAGGGAGGAAAAGGGTCCAGTATCGCCATCGCTCGGACGTCCACTCCCCGTGCATTGTTCGATGTCGGGCGTGACATTTTTGCCCGAGGATCCAGGATGCTCATCGATGGCCCTCGCCAAGAAGGAAAGCACACGCCCGAGCGATTCCAAGGGAGGAGGGTCCAGTGGGCCTGCAGGGGCAGCGACTGCGAGGCAGCGCGGAGGTCCTGCAGCGCCTGGCACTGCGCGTGCAGGCCGCGGAGGTCGCCGACGAGGCTCGACGCCGCTCTCTCGAAGAGGGCCTCGCCGAGGAGCAGCGCCGACGGGAGCGGAGAGGATGGCAGGCCGGCGAATGGCGACAGCCCTGGCCTGGATGAAGGATTGCAAAAAGGATTGCAAAAAACCGAAGGATTGCAAAAAACCGAAGGATTGCAATCCTTTGCAATCCTTGGTTTTTTGCAAGCCTTTGCCCACCAGCGTTCGTCGTCGCCGCCGTCGTCGTCGACCATCGCGGCACTCCGTCCGAACTGGGTGCAGCCAAGCAGACCGAGGCACGCCAGGGGACGCACCGATCGGCAGATCCCAGAAAACCATGTGTGCGAACGTGGCTCGAGAGCCCCAACTCTTCCGAATCAGCTGCTCCTTCCTCGTCGGGGAGGGCTTCCATGCCCTCCACCTGGGGTCTGGGATTCCCGGTCGCCCGTAGTTGCAACGTCCAGGATGGTCCAAGAAGAATATTAGATCACCTCTAATACGAGAAAACTGGATTGCCCAAGTTGGGCCCAAACATTTACCCACGATGCCCCAATATTTCTCTGGTGGCTCACACTTAGCCCCAAAGACTTCAAAAGAAAACATTAGACAAATGACCATGGCTGTTTCGACATATGTATATACACATATATACATAAAATAAATCTACAGATGTATCCAGCACCGTGCCCTGAGGCACGAATTGTTTGTCCTCTGGTCCCTTCGGATTCTTCGTTTTGAGCTCTGAACAAATACTTCAAGGGGCCCACATCCCGGAGTTCTGAGCGCTCCTGGATGCTCTCGCGAGCTCGTGGGCGGCCAAGGAATCATTCCTGCATAGGCTGTACGGATACACGAAGCGTACCAGATTTCTCGGAGATAGCCGAACTGTGTCTGCGCGGTTCTGACACCTCCCTCCAATGCCTCCTCCCCATGCAACATACACTTCAACTGTTGAATTAAGCAATCTCGCAGAAGCGCCAAAGAGGCCACAACGTACGGCAGCAGGCGCGCCAGAATCATATCGCTTTCGATTGGGGAGGATGACCACCACTACCACGTGGAAGAGTCGTGACTGCTGTTGGTACAACTGTGCAGAGCATCACCGAGGAGTGCATCACGGGCAATGCCTAAGTACTGAACTGAAAAATCATGGGGTAGACCTTGCACCGCACAGACTCAAGACACATTCGACGAGCACTCGAGTCTCGGGCTGCGGAAGGCTAAGTGCACTTCAGGACAGGCTTGCACTGTGCCAGTTCATCCCCACGCCTTTATAAGGCAACTAATGTAGAACGGTGCTGCAATCTGCGCGCGCCTTCATCGCACTCGTCGCCGTTCGATTCAAGAAGGTCGTGAACAACCTTCGCCAAAAATCGCCACCAACACATGCAATAGGTGCTGCGAGTTCAAACCTGAGCATGACATCAGGGGTTTATCATCATCATCGCACGAAATGCCACACGCCTTTGTGCTAAGCAAGTGGCATGACCATGCTGGAACACAAGTCAACTCGGGAAGTGTATGTTTGCACACGCATCCTTCAGCAACGCAACACGTGATGTTTGCAGTGCCCACACCGCCCAGCGATGCCGAACTGAACGCGCGGACAGTCGTCTCCATACGGAGGCGCCTGGTCAACAACCTCGGCATTACCTGCGACGGGTCGCAAGCAGACAACGCGAAAGGGGGCAAGATATGCTCTCCTGCGAAGCACGCAAGCACATCAGAAGGGGTGTGCGGGGAAGACGTGTTTCCAGATCCACGGCAGATTGGAGTTTCGGGCTCCCTTCCCAAGAAACCCGAGGCGCACTGGATGTGGATAAAATCTGGCCCTCAGAGGCTGGATGTTGATCCAGATTAATTGCGCCTCAGCCTTGTGGCGCCCTTTCCAACACTCATCTAAGACGAACATGAGACCCTCCACCAGCCAAAGCACCCCGAACAATAATAAGATCACTCGAGGGTACCCTCCCCAAGGATGCACACAGGAGGATACCCTCCCCACACCTACCTCGATCCGAAACCTCGGTCCGACCGTATTGCCCGCGGGTGGGGGATGTGAACGATTCTCATGCGGAAACGGCAAGAGAAGCCGACGGCCACGTGCGCAGAGACATTCCCCGAGGGAGAGGGGCGCCCCTGTCGATGGCGAGGGCCGGCACACCCCTCTGTGAAGCAGCAGCCGGCGCCTGGAGACCGGAGCTGTGCACACCTCAGTATATACCTTACGCCTTGCACTCCTCTGCGAGAGTGCGACCATACTCGCGAGCTGGCCGATTTCCCGTGAAGCCCCCAAAACACTGATGCCTACGACTGTATAGGCCTGCGCCTGGCGCTGTTTTTCGCTCGCTGGCCCCCATGGGCGTTGCGGGGCCCGAGTTGCCCTGGGCTCGGCCAAGATCGAGGCCCTCGGTGTCCCCTGCCCCACGAAGCCCCCAGACCCTGCCCGCCAGCAAGCCAGGGACTGGCTCTCTGAAGGCAGGCACCCAGCAACTGGGATCAGGCTCGTCCAGTCTAATCCGTAGTTTGCTCGGCTTTCTATGAGGGCTGGTGTGTTATCACCCTCTCCCAGTATTGCCAGAGTGGGGGGCCGAACGGTCATTCATTGTCCCTGGGTGCGTGGCTGAAAAGAGATCCGTGGTGAGGATTATGCTTGTTGCGTTGTTGTTGTTGTTTGTTTGCTTTCGTCGTCCCACCCGCAACCCACCCGCGACCCACCCCGCGACCCCACCCGCGACCCACCCCGCGACCCAACCCGCGACCCAACCCGCACCCCACCCGCGACCCACCCGCGACCCACCCCGCGACCCAACCCGCGACCCACCCGCGCCCCACCCGCGACCCACCCCGCGACCCACCCCGCGACCCACCCCGCGCCCCACCCGCGATCCACCCTGCGACCCACCCCGCGACCCACCCCGCGACCCACCCGCGACCCACCCCGCGACCCACCCCGCGACCCACCCCGCGACCCACCCCGCGACTCAAACCGCGACCCACCCCGCGACCCACTTGCGACCCAGCCGCGACCCACCCCGCGACCCAGCCGCGACCCAGCCGCGACCCAGCCGCGACCCAACAGCGACCCACCCGCGACCTACCCGCGACCCATTTGCGACCCGTTTGCGACCCACCCGCGACCTACCCACATTGGTTTAACGAAAAAAAACTTGCGCCTGCGGCGGGCTAGGTGTATAATTTGTCAAACTTTGGCGCCTGCGGCGGGCTTCTCCAGAGTCTCGCAGACTGCCGACATCCCCACGACGTCCCCACCGCCCCCTCACTCTTTTCCGCATCTGCGGGGTGCTATGGTATAGTCGTCGTCGCGTTAACGGAAGCTTCGCCGTTCTATGCTGCGTCTTGCGTCCTGCGTCCTGCGTCCTGCGTCCTGCGTCCTCTTCCTCCTCCTCCTCCTCCTGCTCCTCCTCCTTTCCTTTGATTGATAAATAACTCCTCCCTGTCACCCCGAGGCCGGTCGACAGGGCGGGCCGGTCGCCTCGCCTGAGACTGCCTCACCATTTCTGCCCTGGCCCCGCGGCCCCGCCGGCCCCGGCCCCTGCCGCAGCCCCGGCGCCCCCCAGCACCGGCCTCGGCCCTGGCTCTGGCCGGCCCCGGCCCCAGCCCCAGCCGCAGCCCCGGCCCGGGCCCTAGACCCGCCTGAAGGCCCTGCGTAGTTAGTAACAGTTAGCGGAACTTCTAATTGTTATTAACGGAGTTATAACTAGTTAGGTTTGGCCAGTTTGAAGCTGTTTTTTTAAATGTTTATGTTATGTTTTTGCATCTCATGTAGTTGGAAATTGGGGCATCATGATTGGGCGTTTCGTCGATTTGGATCTGCTCAGGGGCCTTCAGATGTTTTTATCGTCCTGGGGCAAACGCGACGGTCCGCAGCGCATCATGTTAGCAACATCGCGATTTGTATTCTACTGGCCAAATGCACGTGATGTCGTTCTCTATTTTCCTGTAAATCACAGGAGCTTTCAGCGAGGTCAGAGGCATCAGAACAGGGTCTGTATCATCTAAAAAGATGTGTCTGGAAAAACCTTCAGCGGCGTTCACATGCTTAGTTGCAAGCTGCTGGACAAGCACCTGCGACTCGCCATCGTCGCATTTCACGTGAAACCACACTTGCATTGCTGCATGCATCCCGCCCGACCCCAGAAGTACGATATCACCGCGCTTGATGCGGCCGAAATCTGTCATGGCTTCGATGCTGGAGACGGCTGTCTGCGTCCCAGGGCACATGCGTTTCAACGCATTCAGCAGCTTCTGTGTTGCTTTCGTTGGGTCGACTAAGCCAGGTGAAACACGCATGGTCTTTAAATCGTGCGCGTGCTGCGCAGTGAGTTGGACCATGAGAGCCTTCTCTGGCCCCTTCTTGCACATGTGGTCTTTGGCGAAACGTTTTACGTTTTTGTGCTTGCGTTCCTGGACAAAGCAACTGAGCGACCCATGTTTTTCAAACATTTCTGGCAAATGTGTTGCCATATGGTGCTTATACACCCAATAGCTTTCACCATATGCGTCCTGATGGCACCGAAGATGTTTCACTATCGCTGACTCTATCTGCGCGGTCGTGACTGGAAGCCGCCGCGCCGCCGTGATGATTATGTCAACGGCATCTTGCAATGCCAGCATACTTGCGATCTGGGGGGCCACTTGATCCGATGAAGGATGCATGGCAATTACTTGCCGAATATACCTGCACAAAACAGGCAACGCAGAGATCTCTTCTGAGGCACTTGCTTGGAGCTCACCAGTCTCCCATACAGTTGCGGCTGAGTGGTGTTTACTCGGCCACGTCCACTTCATGAAATACTCATGCAACTCCATTGCATCACACAAACACTTGAACTGCGCATGCCCTAAAAGTGCTTTTACTTCTCTGTCGAATATACCAGACACAAAATAAATATGCATCCAGTCAAAGCAAATGAATGACGCAGGGAGATATCGCAAACCTGGGTCCAGCGCTATGTGTTCGGGGTGGAAGTTCCATCCTTTGTGCTGTGTGATGGTCGTGTACTGCCCCTCTGAAAACTCCCCCCGCTGATATTTATCCCAATCGGGCCGAAGTCGTTCCAGGATCGCGATGATTGTCGCGTCATCGTTTCTGCGTATCTTTGACGCATCCAAGCACGCGTCTGTCACAAAGAAACCAGATACATCATATGTCAAATAATCAAACTTTCTATTCAAGACGTTGCGACATAACGCACAGGGTTTGGAACCAGCGTGCCCTTTGTTCATGTGTAGTTCCCGCAATGCCTCTTCGTCCCCTATGACGCACGACAGCTTCGCGACGATCGTCGCGTGCGACGTTGCGTCGCCGTTCTCTGACACGTCTAATGTAACACCGCTCGTCTCAAAATTGAAACCACCAGCAGAATTTTTTTTTTTTTTTAAAAAAAAACTTCTTTGAGGGTCATCTTGATGCACTGCCCGATGCCACCTGGGATGCTTTTTATTTTTGCGCACCGCGCAGTGCTAAGCGTGAACCACGCATCTTCGTTACCCAAGGACTCGTCGAACTCAGCGAACGACCAGTAAACAGCATCAACCCCCCGATAATCTTTCCCCTTCGCCAGGGGGTCTCGCGGTGAAATACCATCGAAATATAAAATGATGTGCCACGGCGACGCCAAGCTGCATGGGTGCTCCTGAAGTGAGCGGCGAAACATCTCCCTGACTGGAGCGCTAGCCTTGCAGCAGGAATACAAAAATGGCCCAGGACAGCACACCCAGTTCTCGAAAGTTCTACCACTGACTAAAGGCGTGTCTATGCAACGCAAGACGTTCCCATATGCGTTCGACTCTTTGGCAATGATGTTTTCGTTTGCCCTGTATTGTGAGCTCCGTGAAATATTGTCGGGCAACCCATGGTCTCGCACATATTTTAGGACACCCGACAGAGCACGCTGTGACAGGTATGAGCCCCTGTGGAGCTCCACCAGCGCCTCATCCGCCTTGCGTTTCCTGGCGGCGGACGCGGCCATGGTTTCAGCCCAAATGGCTACAGACTCGATAACGATGCCAATGCGCATCATAGGATGCATGCGTAGCGTTATGGTAGGGGCACGCTGCATGATGCATCTGAATGCAGCGAGGCGATAGATCACAACAGAAGTGCACGTTGCATAACGATGCATATGGCATGATACGACGTCGCATCAGAAGGACATGTAGGTGCATAGATGCAGTGCGACGGTAGCTCGCGAGAGAAAGGAGTGTTGCATATTGATGCATGCGACTTGCGATGAAAAGATCGCAACAGACTTGTGTTTTAGACATCATGGTGCAACGTCATACAAGCACGAGGGAGTTCGTCGATGTGGCGCCGCCCACCGCCGCGCTGCAGCTGCGATGCGAGCTCCCAGCCCTGCTGGTCCTCAACAACCCCCTGGTCCTCCCCCTCCCCGCGTCGAGCACCTAACACTTGGCGTCGATCCACGCCAGCGCCGCGCTCCAAGCCTCAATGCGATTCATCGTCGCATTGCGGTCGAAGCGGACGCGGCGATCTGCCCTCCCCACAACGGCCCTGAACACCTTCTGTGAAGGCTTGTAGATCACGTAGCCGCACCTGTACGGCGTGTTGCACTCGCACGTCGGCGGCTTGGGCAGCACGGCGGGCTTTGGCACGGCAGCCGCGGGTC